TTAGGATACAAGTTGTTGTGGCACATATATTTTTATTTTTCTTGTGCAGATGCTAGGAGTGGAGTAATAAGTAGTGAATATATTGGATTATAACCCAGAGAATAAAATAAGTGTCCATTGGTCCATACAGGCATAAAAAAACTTTTGGATAAATGATTTATAATTTATTTCAAAATAAAAATTATAAATTTTATTACCAAAAATGGCTAGACAGTTTGGATATCTCACCACAAAATACATGCATAGCAGATAAGTACATGGAAATATTCTGAGTTTCATTAGTTATGAGGGATGTGCAAATTAAACCCATAATATATCACTGCACACTTACAAAAATGATTAAAATTAACATCACTGACCATAGTATGTACTGCCAAAGATGTGGAAGAACTAGAATTCACTTGTACTGCAAGTGGCAGTATAAAATGGTACAACCATTCTGAAAAACAGCCTGGTGGTTCTTAGAAATCTTAACATATACCTACCATATGATCCAGCCATTCCACTCATAGGTATTTACCCAAGAGAGAAGAAATTTACATATTTGCACAAAGATATGTGTAATCGTTCATTGCAGTTTTATTTGTAATTAGTCCCGAACTGGAAACAATCCACGTGTCCACTAACAGATGAATAAATAAGCAAATTGTATGACCAGTGAAGTACTACTCAGCACTAAAAATGAACTAGTCATATGTGCAGCTTCATAAATCTCAGAATAATTATGCTGGGTGAAAAAAGAAAAAAAAAAACACAATGTGATTCTATTTCTTTTTTTTTTTTTTTTTTTTTGGTACCAGGAATTGAACTCAGGACCTTGTGCTGTGCTGCTGAGCTATATCCCCGGCCCATGTGGCTCTATTTCTTTAACATCTAGAAAATACAAATTAATTTATATTGATAGCAAATCAGTGATTGCCCTGGGATGAGTGGAGTGGGTTACAAAGGAACACGAGGTGATGGCTATCTGTGTTATCTGTTTATGACATTAGACTCACAAATTTAACACATGTCAAAATTCACCAAGTTGTACAGTTTAAATACAGTGGCATCTCAGTTCATGAACCTACTTCTTTCACAATTCTAGTTGCAAACCAAACTGGTTGAAAACTGAATCAAATTTCCCTGTAAGGTCAACATTAAACCTAACCATTGAATTTGATTTAGTTCTTGTCCAGTTTGGTTTGTGACCAGAATTGTGGAAAGAATCAAGTCTGAACTGAGGTACCACTATATGTGTAGCTTTTTCAGTGGGGAAGGGATCACTCTTAAGTCTGGGCTGAATAACTCCAGGAGTTAATGGGTGGAGCTGTCATTTGTTGAAGGGAAGGCTTACTGAGGTCAATGCTAAATTTAATACAGTGCTTTCAAATTAAACAAGGTTCTTAGTCAAGATAGAAGAGAGGGAAAACATAATTCAAACTGGTGGTATGAGGGTGTTGTTAGAATTTGGGTGTAGGGGAGGTTATGTTTCAGTGTTAAGATTCTGTGTTTGGAGAACTAAGTGAAAATTTGGAAGACTTCAGTAACTGAAATCTGTGGTTTAAAAACTATTTCTTTGATTTAAGACTAGTTTCTAAATGTGTCTTATCGCTGGTTTTAAAGCCTTGGGCACATGTGAAAATCATTCATGGAGGTTTTTTTCTTTCTCTTAACTTTTTTTTCAAATGTACAAACTGTGTCACCCTGGAAATTCTGATTTCATTGATCAAGCATGGGGCATCAGTATATTTTAACACTCCTCAGCTGATTTATCATGTAGTCTTTGTGGAGAACCTGTAGCATTAAGTGACTATGATGGTTGTTATAAATGTCATTCTCAAACCCTATCCGGACCTAATGAATCAGAGTACATGTTGTAGTAAGATTCCCAGGTAATTTGTATATACATTACACCTGAGGGAACACTGTCTAGACTTAGTGAATATCTGGCAGTGCCCCAGAACTCGGAGTATAGTTCTCAGAATGTGATTTCCTTGCTACAAAAATGCAGATTACTGAGCACCGCCCCAGGTCTTCCCAATAGGACACTCTGGGGTTGAGGCCCAGTATTGTGTGGTTTTATTAGTCCTGCAGGTGATTCTATGCATGATTCAGATGAAAAGTCTGCATTGGAGTTTCTGGTATCACTTGAAATTTGGAAGCACTGAATTGAATGAAATTCATTCTACACATCTTTTATTAAAATAGATACTCTTGAAGTGTCAATATTGTCTGTTTCTTTTAACCTTTAGAAAAAGGTATATGCACATATGTAGAGAAAGAAAGTATATATGGCAAAAAAATGCTATTATTATCAAGCTGCTTTTATAAATGGCACAGTATAGTTCAGAAAGGGTAAAGTAGTTAGTCCAAAACAGTCAACCAGCAAGCAAGTAGTAGAACAAGAACTTAAACTTCCCTGACCTTTGTATATCACCACGTTTGAGTTTGATGCTGTTTTGTGTGTTAACTTGCCTACTTCATCATCTCAGGCATGTGGGAATGTGGTTATATTACATTCCTCAGGCCCAAGAGCAAGCTTGAAAGTGCAGTCATCAACTTGAATTATTATTAGTCATCCCCTACCTTCATCCCACCTATTCCTTCTTTAGACTTTGAATGTCTGAACATGTTTGTATGTTTGACCTTGGCTGTAATTAGATACTCTTTGATTTAGGTTGAGACTGTGCAGAAATAGACTTGATTTAAATAGTCCAGCCTACTGAATTTTAAAGTCACTTTTAATTTGACAAAGTTGCAATCTTGGCCTGTTGGTAGCTTGAGATTTAGGATTGATTCCAAAACAGCAGAGACTATTAATTAAATATTTCACATATTTTGTATTCTACCTCAATCCACAAAACATTTGTGGTGATTAAAGATTAATGTTAAGTGAATTGCTTTTCCTCCTCTTAACATTTCTTAAATTTTGATGGATTCATTAGGTTGATAGTCTTTTAAAAAACAGAAAAAAATAGCAACAATTTATTCCTGCTAGCTGGTTAAAAGATCATATTTAAGAATGGTTTTGTTTTGAAATGTTGACCTTCTAGAGTAGTTGTTCTTTTCTGAATTTAATTGAACTCATAGTGGCATTTTTAGATAATGTGTGATAAGAGCATTAAGAAACAGAGCCAAAATGGTTTTATTTACTTCTATACAAACTAAATTGCCCTTGTGACCCAGCATAAAATCTCAGTGCTAACAGAAGTTATTTATTTTGACAACAGAATTAATTGAGTCTAAAACAGTTGAAATTCCAGTTGTAGCAAACTATTCGTTAAGACTCACTCTGGCTTTAGTACTGTCAAAAAAATAACTTGTCTTATGATTAAATAGCAGAATGATGGGCAGTGGACTTCATTTGACGGAGATTGCTGAATAAACTTTCCACTTGTGAAACAGTTGAGATGTGACATGCCACAAGGGAGGTCAGACTGTGCATTGATATCCAGCTGAGCTGTCAGCTGGCCCTGAGCCAGGCACGCAAAGCCTTGCCGTGTGGAGGAGCATATGGAGCATGTGCCACTGGAGAAGGAATCTCCTGTGTGCCTGATTTAATGCCTTTTTTTGTTTGTTTGTTTAAAATGTATATTTGGTTTCATTATACTAGAAAGTTGGTATTTCTGTCTTGAGTAGAAAAATTTATGTGTGTGGTACTCAAACATTTTAGTTATATTTTATAATTTGAAAGGATTTGGCATTTTACATTTCAGAAGTGTTTTTTTATTTTTAGTATTTTCATTGGGCACTACTACCCCAAATAGATTTTAAGAGGATATTTAGAAAAGATAAAGGAAAATTAATCAAGACAATATCTATATAGAAAAAAGATTTTTGAAGAAAAATTTAGACTTATTTGAAGTGATTAATTTTATAGTTAAGGAATCCCTTCACTATTTTCACATAAATTAAGTCACCTGAAAATGTTAAAATGTTTTTCTCTTTATATAGTGTTTACTAAGATGATGTTGGAAAAATCCTTCTGGATTTAAAAAAAACTTGAAAATTTTATATTTGCTTGCCATTGGTGTGTTTTTATTTTTAACTTCACCCCCTCTCTAAAGTAAGCCCATAGCCTAGAGAGGCTGTAAATAGTGACTGGTACAAAATGTGTTATGTATCTGTAGGAGGATTTTGACTAACCACATTTCTAGTTGCCTTTTTTGGGTAAACTCTGAAAATTTCACACTTGATTATTATTTAGAAAAGCCAATAGTTCATAATAAGCTGTTGGTAATTTATGTTAATGACTTCCCATTCTTCATAATTTTAAGATCAAGCAAAAAGTTGCTTAGTATGAGATCCACATAATTAAATTCTTCACCCTTATTGATTTGTCTGTCCCCATCTCATTGTAAATTGTTATAGGCCTCTATAAAAGAGTCTAAGAACAAGCTCCAAGACCTTTCATTAAGTGATTTCTCAGCTTCCAGATTTGCAGAATGGGCTTGAATAAACTCCTTAAATTTTTAATTGTATTGTTTTGTGACCCTTTAAAGCTTTTGGGGGTGGAAGTGACAAATGTGTTTTTTTCTTAGTCATTATTAGTCTAAAAATTAAAGATACAGTGGTGAGTAGAACACAGGAGGCCCCAACCTTATATTCTAGTAATATTTACTATCTTGTTATCCTGTTTTTCCTATGAGCAGGGATTCAGCAGTTACCCCTTACTGTGCTATTTTCTTTCTCATTAACTGCACTACAAAGTCCTTGGAAGCAGAAACTACGTGCTGTGTCTCTGTCCTGTTCTGTGGTATCACCTGTTCTGCGGTTTCCAGTAAATTATTGAGGTCACAATAAACTACTCTCAGTTTTTTTTTCACTTTGGGGGATAATTTACTTTTTAAAAACTATTACTGATATTTTAATTAACTGTGATAACAATAGAACATATTACAGAATCATTAAAAAGATGTATTAGAAGTTAAATTTTAAAAGTTAGTAAAAGTGTAGTATAATAGATTTATCTGAGAATTGTTTTCTGCTAGGAGTTATTTTTTTTTTTCCTCCTTCAGGCCTTATTGAATTTGAAGAATGTGACCCTGCTAGTGCAGTTGAAGGTAAGTTAACTACTTAAAATGTATCAATGCCTGTGACACCTAGCTTTCTGTGTTGTGTGTTGAACAAGTAAAGCGGGCTTGCCATCCACAGGTGTCACCATGTCCATGGAGTAACATGAAAATCTGAAAATATAGTTTGAAGACCTGCAAGTGACGATTGTTACTTAAACAACAGATTTGTCTGAAGGAATACGTGTGTTAAAATACATATTTTATGAGGATGATTGAACCTTGGGCCTCAGGCATCTTAGACAAGCATACTGTACTACTGAGCCATACCCTACAAAGTCTGCACTAAATACATACTTTAAAAGATGAAATGCACAGCGCCTGCCTGGCAAATGCGAGGTTCTGAGTTTGATTCCCAGTATGAAAAAGATGAAATGTAGTCTTATGTTTTTTTCAGATGTATATTCAATTTTTTTTTCATTGAGCTCTATCCTTAAATTTTTTAATGTCATGAATGTGAAAACCATTACTACATAGTGGGCAATGTTTCATTGATTAATGAGGTTATGTAACTTATCAGTAGGCCCGAAGCCTAGACTTCTTGCACTCAGTAGCTATTTGACTAGGAGCAGTAATTAGTTGTCTGAGCTTAACTTTTCATTCTAAAGTAAGGGTAATAAAAAAAATGTGCATTGTGGTGGCACATCCCTATAATCCTAGCACTTGGGCAGGCTGAGGCAGGAGAATTGCAAGTTTAAGCTCAGCTTGGACAATTTAGCAATTCAGACCCTGTCTCGAAAAAAGACTGGAAACCCAGCTTGGTGGGAAGTCCAGGCCTGGATGCAGTCCCAAGTACTGCCATAAAAAAAAAAAAAAGTAGTTGATTTTTAAAATATCACAGTATTGTGTATGAATATGTAGTTTAGGGCATTAGTTTTTCATGATAGCAAGGTCATTACTCAGTGACACCTGGATTCTTGTTCTTGCTGAGTTAGAGAACAAATACAACGACTTTGAATTTTATCATATATAAATAGGATGGTTAATGAAAGTGACTCAAGATTTCTTACTGCTCACTTCTCAAAGAAGCTAATAAAGTTTTAGCATTAGATTCCACAATTACTAAAGTGACCTTCAAGCATAACTTACTATGTAAGAAGAGAAAGAACACAAATGATTTTCCTTCTCAGGATCCATTTCTAACATTATACTAGGTATAACATGCAAATGCAAAGAATGCCATGTTGCAGATGCTCATGTTGTATTTCTAATAGGTCAGCTGGGTTGTCTTTTTAAACAGTTTAAATTTTGTGACCCTTGTGACCCCCTTGTTTTTTGTGACAAGAAACATAATTTGACCTACATATATAACAAAATCTAATATATAATGAGTGATGTACTTCCTTTGAAGATTTAGAAGCTCTCCATACACTGCTTTTGCCTAAGGTGACTTAGGAAAGAAAAAAGAAATTCATTAAGTGAATGTTCTATAATCTTTTGGTGAATAATAGATTATACTGTGTTATAATAACATAAATCTTTGCTACTAGGATTGTGATTTAAAAATTAGAGTTAGAGCTTGATACTTCCATTTCTTTTTATCCAAATCTAGCATCAACCATTATGAGCAAACCATTTCTAAATACAAGTATTCCTAAGTGTAATATATTCATGAGGAACAATTATATTTTTGTAACAATATATATTTATTTTAAAGGTGTAAAACCAAGGAAAAGGAAGACTTTTGCTTTACCAGGAATAATCAAAAAGGAAAAGGATGCAGAATCTGTGTAAGCATTTTAAATATTGTCAACATTATTTTTAATGTTACAAATGATTAAGAACAAAACTGTTACTTTGAATTAAATAAAAAGCCATTTGGAAATAATTCAAAGTTTAAAAACTTTAAAGAGAAGAGCAAACTAAACTGTATCAGTCTTATTAGCTAAGAGAACACCTTTACTCATCTGTTGTAAGAAAATCTTTCTAGACTATTCTTTGTTTCCCAACACTGGGATTGAAGTCAGGACCTTTGCAACAAGCTACATCCCCAGCCTTTGTTTGTCTGTTTGGTTGTTTATTTATTTAGAGACAAGATCTTACTAAGTTGCCCAGGTTGGGATCAGATGTGCCATTCTCTGGTCTCAGTCTTCCAGAATGCTGGATTTACAGGTGTGCACCATCACATCTGGTTCAATTCTTGAAATACCTGGAGTATTAAAATAAATACACCTATGGCATCCAGGGCCTACCTCAAACCAATTAAATCAGATTCCCTGGGTGTGAAACCTCAACATTTTTGTTCTATTCTGTTTCAAGCATACTATGTGATTCCTAATATATGCCCATGATTGGGAAATGTTAAGCTCTGATTAATCAGTGACAAACTCAGAGCAAAAGAAGCTTTTTCACCACAATTTTATTAATAAGTTTTAGATTGAAAATCTTAAGTGATCAAAATCTTAAGTGATTTGTTCATCTAGTAACAGTGTTTGAACATTAGTTTAAAATCCCTACTTTAGCATAATTAGTAGAACTCTTAAGGTTTGATATTTTGATGAACGCTCATATATTCCAACATGAGAAGAAAATGTGCTCTGAGCATGCTTGCCTCCTACCTATATTCTTGTTATCTGAGTTTCTCAAAGAGTTTTTTTTTTTTTCCTTTTTGTCTCCTCTCTACCAAAGTGGTATTTGGTTAGCAAAGTAAGACTAATTGCAAAGTGATCTACTATATCTGTGGGTATCATCTTTTCTGCAGATGTCTTTCTTAAGCATTTCTGAAGTGATACTTTGCTAAAAGAACATGATCTAATTTCTTTTTATAATACTGGAAATACATATTGAAGTCCAACCAGTTCATTTGTAAGTAAATTTTTAAAATGTATCCCATTTAACCAAGTATGGTAGCACATGCTTGTAATACTACCACGTGGTAGGCTGAAGCAGAAGGATTGCTGTGAGTTCAAGGCTAGCTTTGGCTATACAGTGAGTTCAAGGCCAGCCTGAACAACGTGCGAGAACCTGTCAAAAAAAAAAGTAGCCAATTTATTATTATTTTAAAATTTTTTTAGTATTGGGGATTTACCTCCACTGCCTCCTATTCCTTTTGAGACAGGATCTTGCTAAGCTGCCTAGGCTAACATTGAACTTGTGAACCTCCTGCCTCAGCCTTCCAAGTAGTGGAATATTTTTTGCCAAAGAGACTACAAGAGTCAAAAGCCAACACTTAAATCATTCATTACACATCATGATCTTCTTTCAAATTTTTTATCAGGAAAAATGTTAGAATTCACTTCGCTTGAAATTCCAGTGGTTCTTGTCATGCCTTATCAGATTCTGGAGACTTTTAAGGTGCCGACAGCTGTGGAACATGGGTTCTGCTCAGACCTTGTTCTTCCTGGGGCTTAATGTTTGCAGGTCACTGTGAAGACAAACTGATGAAAGGGGTGCTTTACCACATAACCAGAGTATATGCCTTAAAGCCACAGGCTTTTAAACAAACAAAAAAAAAGATGCATGCAGTGTGTAAACTGTTTTTTTAGTGGGGAGCTACTAGGGATTGAGAGATTGAACCCATGACCTTTGTAGTGAGCTATATCCCCAGCCCTTCAAAAACATTTTACTAAGTTTCCAGGATAGGCTTGAATTTGAGATTTTCCTGCCTTAGCTTCCTAGATTATTGGGGTTAGAAACATGTGCCACTATGCCTGATTAAACTGTCTTTTTTAAAAAGGAGAAAGTACAGAAGTTCTAACATATTGATCAATTTGATTTTCTAGGATTTAATTTATTGTTGTGCTATTCTTGGAATATTTCCCCAAAGCCAACACAGGTTTTTCTCCCATATATAGTATTCCCCATCTACCAGTAAGGAAGTTGTATTTTGAAATTAGCAATTTTAAAGTGATTCCCTCCCCTGCTTTTTCGGGAGACAGTGTTTGCTGTGAGGAGGGTCTCAAATTCCTGGGCTCAAGCAATCTCCCTGCTCCAGCCTCCTGAGAAGCTGAGATTTTAAGCGTGTGCCACTGTGCTTGGCTTTTTAAAAGTGATTTTTAAGTGTATATAAAGATAAGTGGGGTTTACATTTATCTTGTGTCTCCGATACTTTAGTTTGGATTAAGAGCAGTGTAGTCATCTTGGTTTTTCATTTTTAAATCTGTCTTCCTTTATCAAAACAATTCATAGGTTTTTCTGTTTTGTGCTTTGTCTTTGGGCAGATAGAGATTATCTGTTTGTACGGGATTCTGATATTCTGTGTATTAATTGTTTCACGTCAGAGATCCAAATACCTTTTAGATCTGCACTCTTAATTTTTGTGAGTTTTAGAGTGTATAACCTTATTCCTGTGACCTCAGAGGACTTAATTTTATGTGTTTTGTTCTTTGTGTTTTAGTTTTACATTTAAAATATAGTTTTCACTAGCTTCTGTGCAAACTCAGTATTTGTTTTATCAGTCAAATGATAGAATATCAGTTCTCAGCTACATTTTCTATTAAACTAGAAAGTTACCTCAACTGGAAGTCTACTTATTGATTAGGAGAAAACTAGTTTTGAGTTATAAAAAGTAGCTAGCTGAAACTGAAATGTCTTAAAATTTTTTATTTAAAAAATTTATGTATCAATTAGTATAAATTTATCCACTGTTACTGGATAAATTTTTTAGACTATTTGTCATTTTAAATATAGCTTTTGTTCTTTAAAGCCAAGCTTTCTTCTTTAAGGGAATCTTATTAAAATAAACTTTTTTTACTTAAAAAGTAAAAAGCCACTGGAAAGTCTTAGAGAACTGACAAGTTCCTTGATAAGATGTACAAGTACTATATTTATGGAAGAGAAGTAATTTTGAAAATAGTTTTTAGAAAACTTGAAAGCTGTTTGTGTTTTGTTTTATCAAGTATTATGGATTATGATTTGGTATATTCTAATCTTTGTGATTTGATTCTTCTAAATAATTACAGAGTTTAAATAAAAGTGTACTTAAATAGCAAGGTAGATACTGTAAAGGTGGTATAATTAGCAGTTTTAATACTCAGATGTTTCTGATAATTTCTTTGTTTTTTATAGGGAATGTCCTGATGCAGATTCACTTGTAAGTAGAGTTAACTTTGATATAGTCAATTTAAATTTTATCTGTTAACCAGTTGTTAAAAGAAAAATGCTGTTATTTTAAATTCACTATGAAAATTGTTTTGAAAGTATACTTTGGTTTTACATTGTCAGGTGCTCCCCAGTTAACTAGTATTTCTAACTGCTTTTGGAGAGATGACATTTTGCTTTTAAAATTAGAGTGGGGCCATATCACCATACTCTTTCTTAGAAAAAAAAATGTCAGATAACAAATCTACATACTTTATTTTAAAGTGTCATACTTTTACTATTTTAGCCTTAGCTCTATTAAAATTCAGCCCTATTTATTCATGCATTTGAGTTTTAATTAAGAGGTTCTCATTTTAGAAATAGTGGCAAGAATGGCCACTATTTTTGTGTGTTTTAAAGAAGGCTTGTTCATTCGTCTTGGTTAAATTATTTTTTTATGTATAATTAAAGATACCAAATGGAGCTCCTGGGGAGAGATGCAGCTGAGGAGTAGACTTATCAGATGCTGTAAATAATGTGTAGACAGCATATTTTTCCAGCTGTTCTGTTCATAAGACACTGCTTGTATTTAAGTGTAATAATTTCAGATACTCTTCTTACTGTTTTTGCTTGCATAACAGTTTGCTTTGGCATAAAATCATTTTACCTTTTGCAGTATAGTGGTATACCAAAATAAAGAACTAAAAATATTTTGTGAAACATTTTGTTTTATGTAAGTTAGGCTACACTAGTGGGGGTTTTTGTTGTTGTTGTTGTTTGTTTGTTTGGTTGGTTTTTTTTCTGGTACTGGGAATTGAACTCACGACCTCACGCTTGCCAGGCAGGCGCTGTGCCGCTGGGCTAAATCCCCAGCCCAGTGTTTTTGTTTTATATTTCAGCTGTTTTCTTTTTTGTGGGGAGGGGAGGAAGGGTACTGGGATTGAATCTGGGGAGCACTGAGCTACAACTCCAGCTCTTTTTTATTTCATTTTGAGACAGGCTCTCACAAAGTACCCAGATTAAGTATAGATAAAGTACTAAGTAGAACACTGAATGAAGTTCTTTATTCCCTGATGTTTTACATGTTTTCTTCTATGTATGCTTTCTTAAAACATTTTTAATTCTTTCAGTTTATTGTTGCTGTTCCACAGTGATCAATTTTTATGCAGTTTTGAACTGTAGGCTGTACGTATCTGAATAGAAAAGGGTTAAACACAATACAGCATTTTCTTATATACACATGAGAAAACATACATCATGAAAGGACATAGTAAAATACACCATGTAATTTTTTGGAGGGAGTGGTTTGGGACAGGGTCTCACTACGTGGTCCAGGCTGGCCTTGAACTCACTGTGTAGCTCAGTCTGGCCTCAAAGTCACACCAGTCCTCCTGCCTCAGCCTCATGAGTGCTGGGATTATGGGTATGTATCACCCACCATGTAATTTCAATAAATTGTTATTAAACAAAAAAGGTTTTGACTCACCAAAGCCAAACTTTGCAAGACATCTAACAAAGGACTGGTTACTTTCATTAAAATGTTTTTTATACAAATGAGTACAAAAATGCCTAATAGTAAAAAGAATTAAAAAGTTTTCATAAAAAGAAATAAAAATGGTAAATAACTATAATAAATACTACTTAAAACTGATGCAAATTGAAATGAAACTACTGTACGTTCAGTCATATGGTAAAAATTTTTGATATACTCACAGTTTTGGTAGTAATGTAAATCAGGACAATGTTTTGTAGATAATTTGGCAGTATCACCTCAAGTAAGAAATACATACTGTTTTTGACTGTAATCCCTTGCTAGACGCTTACAGTTATGGCTGTGTTCACAATACATTGTATCTCTACAGTATCTACACACATATACACTCTTGGTCAAGATATATATGTAAAGGAAAGGGGAAAGACACCAAAAGCATCCATCAAAATGAGAACTCGTTAAATTTTTAAATATTCACTTGATGGGACAATAATCAGATGTTATAATTAGGTTATAATTAGGTTGATCTGTTTGCTGAACTTACTAATTAAAAGGAGATACCGATTTTTAAAAGTCCTGTTTTAAATATAAATATGCATGCATGTGTGTGTGTGTGTGTGTGTGTTTTTAACAAATGGTTAATCGTGGTTACCTTTGGACAGACAGATTATAGTGGTGGATAGCAGGGAAAGGAGACTTACTTTTTTGTCTCCCTTTATTTCTGGCCAGTTATTATTTATTAGCTAGTTATGGCCTTAATTATTTTTAGAAATATCAGTATGTTCTGTTAGTAGAGAAACTATTGTTCATTTCCTTATTTTATCTTATTTTTTAAAGGTCTGTGCACTTAAAAATACTCATTGGAGGGGTGACATCTTGTGAAGGTTGCCCTTTTTTGTCAGTGTCTCCCAATTTCAGATTATGAAACATTTCACTGACTCTTGAGCTCCCTTACAGTAATTTTGTTTGTTTGTTTGTTTTGTTTTTTGTTTTTTTCTGGTACTGGCAATGGAACTCGCTACCTTGCGCTTGCCAGGCAGGCGCTGTGCCGCTGAGCTAAATCCCCAGCCCTTATAGTAATTTTTTAAAAATCACCACCACAACTGCTTTTGACAATTGATAGGTGAAGTTGTCTATCCTGTTCTTCATACCACTTTTGGTTCATGTCGGCAGTGTGGGCTATATACAAGATCAAGTGTAAGAATAATGATATAAGGGCTGGGGATTTAGCTCAGTGGCACAGCGCCTGCCTGGCAAGTGGAAGGTCGTGAGTTTGATTCCCAGTACCAGAAAAAAAAAACCCCAAAAAAGGATAATGATATATACAAGGTCGTATGGAAGATGTTTCTAGTACCAAGTTTCTGTGAATAGTTCTAGCATGAAAAAGTACATTTAGAATCATTGCTGTAAAAATACTTTATTTGGAAATAATTATAGATTAACAAAAGGTTGCAAAGATAGTATAGGACAATACCATGTATGTGTCATTCCTTTCTCCTGGTGTGACATCTTGCAAAACTAGTTTCACAACTAGGATATTGACACAATTCAGTCAAAACAACATTCTCATTATGAGAAGGATCCCTTGTGTTGGTGACTTTTTTATCTAGAAATTTTCCTTTCTCCACCTCTCTTCAGCCTTTGGCCACCAGTCATCTTTTCTCCGTTTCTGTGATTCTGTCAAACTGAACAACATTATAATGGGAATTGTATAATACCATTTTGGGGTTTCCTTTTTTCACTTCACAGTGTTCTGTCAGTATTCATCTAGGGTGTTGTATTCAGTAGTACATAGAGTTCTTTTTTTTGTTGCTGAATAGTAGTCTATGTAATGGGTATACAGGAGTTTAACCATTCACTTACTAAGGATATTTTAGTCGTTTCCAGTTTTGGGCTGTTAGAAGTAAAGTTGCTATAAATATAGGTTTTTATGTGGACATTGTCTGTGCCCTGGTAATTTTCTTTTTGAACCTACTTTAAATACTAAAATAGCTACTTCTGCCTGTTTATTACTGTTAATGTATATTTTTCTATCCTTCATCTTTCAGCCTACCTATATCATCATATTTGAAGTAATTTTTTTATACACAGTTTATAGTTGGATCGTATTTTTTATTCATTCTACCAGCCTCAATATTTATTACTTTGATCAATTTTAGTTGTTAATAATTGTGATTTTATTTTATAAAATACAATTATATTTTTATTTTTTAATCAGCACAGTAATCATACATATGCATGGTATATAGTGTGACATCTCACACTTGTATATAATGTAATGATCAGATAACAGTAACTGACATATTCATCACCTTAAAATAATTTCTTTAGCTTCACCATATAAGTGAGGACGTGTATTAATTGGTGTTTCTGTGCTTGACTTATTTCACTTAAACATGTCTCTAAGTTTGTCCACATTATTAGAAGTGACAGGAGTTCATTCCCTTTGTGTAGCTGAATAATACTCCACTACATTTTCTTTATCCTTTTATCTGTTGATGGACACCAAGGCTGCTGCTATAAATAATACTACAATAAACATCAGAGCCCAACTACCTGGCCATTCTAACTGGGATGAAATGATAATTCATTGTGATTTTGATTTGCATTTCTTTGATATTTACTGATGTTAAGCAGCTTTTCTTACACTTGCTGACTGTTTTATTTTTGCTTCTTTGCTGTTGAGTTGTTAAAGCCCCTTACATATTCTGGATATGAATCTCTTTTTGGGTAAATAGTTTATAAATATTTTCTCCCATTCTGTAGGTTGTCTCTCAGTGTTGTTGATTGTTTCTTTTATTTTGCAGAAGCTTTTTAGTTGATGTGTTTGGACCACTTGTATTTAATGATGTCAGCGTTTAAGTTTACCATTTTATTTTACTTTTCTCTTTTCCTCCACACCTTAACATTTTATTTCATTTTCTTGCCTTCCTATAGGTTGAACCTTTTTAGACTTCCACTTTTATTTATTTATAGAGTTTTTGGGCTCTACTTTGTAGAGCCCTTCCTGTGGTTGTTCTAAGTCAGCCGCCAGTACCTTCAGATAGTTGTTTATGTAGTTTGAGCAGATACTATAATTATAATCTGTAAATGAGCCCAAACACAGCTTAGTCAACTTCATAGAAAGCAGGTTGGTATCATTTTTAATTATTACATTGTACTATATAGTCCATTGTAAGCAAATTTAAAGTAGTGTCAGTTATCACATTCCAGATAGAACCTCCAGGAGACTAAATACAGTAGTCACTTCTGACTTAAGGGGGATATATTCTAAGATTCCTCTTGTGAGGATTCACATGTATGTATGTTCTTTTGTATACATATATACATATATGTGATAGTTTAATGAATTAGGCACATTAAGAGATTAACAATAATAAGAAAAGTTAAACAGATATACTGTAATAAAAATCACTTCAAGTTTAGGAGTTTTTGATTTCTGGAATTTTCAATTTAATATTTTCAGACTGTAGCTAGCCACAGGTAATTGAAATTGTGGAAAGCAAACTGAATTGAATGGCAGAAGGACTATTGTACCCCGTGTTTTTGTAGGCCGCTTGGAATAGGAATAAAGTATTTCAGTATAACTTTATTCTGATTTCTAATTAATCCACACTTGACTGCAATACCCTGACGTTCTGAGGCAGTGATATTTTTTTAGGCATTTATTTAGAAATAATTTCCAATTTATAAAAATAAAAGCGTAAAATAATACAAAGAATAATTGCATCCTCCTTGTAACTTACATGTACTTTAATATTTTTGTCCTGTATATATGTGTGTTTTTATGTATGTGTATAACTTTTTCCTATTTCTTTTTGTGTGTGTGCTTTTTGAGAGAGGGTCTCCCTATGTAGTTCAGGCAGGCCTTGAGCTCACTATGTAGTACGGGCTGGTCTCAAACTTAGGGCAATTCTCTTGCCTCAGCCTTCTGAGTGCTGGGACTACAGACATGCACCACTCTGCCCATTCCTATCTGTTTTAGTTGAAGATACTACATTACAGCATTTTTATCCCCAAGTATTTACATGTATATTTTAAAAAAAATCCAGGAATATTCCCTTATTAACCACAAAAGCATACTCAGAAGTGTCTCTTTTTCCTATATTTTTCTACTGCATTTTCCTCTCTTTTTAGATGAACAACTTCATTGTGTTTAGATTATTCTTCCAGTGGTTTTATTTTTCATGAAGTTAAGCAGATATATATCCTTACTCTCTCTCTCTCTCTTTCCCTCCCTCTTTCTCTCTCCCTTCCTCTCTTCCTCTGCCCCATATATATGTATCACATATATCCTAAAATGTCATCACAATACCACTCCTTAGTATTTTCAGATAACCGTTCTGTGTTTATACTGGTCATTATCTCTAGTTCTATTTATTGAAGAGACTTAGTGGTTTGTTTAGTAGCTTACTTTAGTCAGGAGTTTGCTGATTGCATTCCCATAAGGTGTTATGTTTTACATCTGCATGTTAGGGAAAATGGTATTTGAATCTAGAGACTTGATCTGATTCAGTTTCAAGTTTTACTTATTTATCTTTTTAATAAAGTCTTCTTTAAGGAGGCCCATGGTGACTCTTCATGACATATGGGCAGATATTGATGCATTGTCATAAGTAGCTCCCCCAGACTTAAAACTGCTTTAAAGGGACACTGTCCCTTTTATTTCCATATAGTTTCTTGTAGCTTCAAGAGTATTTACCTTAATACTTTTTAAAATCACATATTCTCTGATTCACTGAGAAACTATAGATTTTGAGCACTCTGAATTGGTCTTCATCTTGGCAGTTTTTTGCCCTGACACTATGATCGTGTTTATCCTGTTCCATTTTGCAGGTTTTTCTTCAGACAAAACATGGAATGTGATTTGAAGCTAATTGACTAGAAAGATACAATTTTTCCGCAGTGCTAAGAATTTTAACATATTGGTACTTGATAAATGATTTGATTCTTAAGTAGTAATTAAGGTTGTTTTGCTGATCTATAATAGTTTTGTATATTGGAGTTGTCATTACAGTAATTTTTTTTCTTTTTCCCATAGAACATTCCTGATGTGGATGAAGAAGGATATAGTATTAAACCAGAAGCAAATCAGAATGATATCCTTTCGTTGTGTGTGTATGCTTAGGGATTGTGTTGACATATAAGAAGATAGTTAACACAATAATGTGTTACTTAAAACTTCTTCAAATTTTAATTGGCTATAGTAAAATGTGACTTTTTCATTGGACAAGATTTTATTAATAAAAGTGGTTTTATTTATTACTGTTTTACCTTTAAAGGTTTTGTTCCTTTTTATAAATGTGTAGAAAATTGGTTATATACTAAGGTAATAAGACAACTAAATTCTTTAACTAATGACTCACATACCAAAGAGAACCATTTCTACTCATCTAGTGATTCTGACTCTGAAGATGAAGAACCAAAGAAGATTCGGATAGAAATCAAGCCTGTGCTTCCAAATAATTCACATCACACAATGGCTTCTTTGGATGAGTTAAAAGTATCTATAGGAAATATAACACTCTCTCCAGCAATATCTGTAAGTAAGAACATGAACAAATTTATGCTTTTTATTTATGTCCCCTACATACAGCTGATTACTTTCAAGATGAATAAGAAGTAAAAATGTATATAAAATCTGTTTTCTTTTTTATTCATGCATGTGTGTAGTGTGTAGTGGTTACATTCATTTTGGGAAATAGGTACATGTACATCCTAATTCCTTTTATTCCCCTTCCCTTCCCTTTTCCTTCCATCTCAAGATTCCTCTCCCTGTTTACCAAAGATCTGTCTCTTTATTTCCTGTTATCTCTCTTTTCTTTTGCTAGTTTGTGTGTCTCATTTACTTCACTTAACATTATGGTTTTGAGGTGCATCCATTTTCCTACAGATGACTCAGATTTGTCCTCTGTGGTAGAGTAGTACTCCATTATGTATAAATACGTTGTCTTTATCCATTCATCTGTTGATGGATGTGTATGCTGCTTCTAAGTTTTACCTACTAGGAGTTGTACTGCTATAAACAGGAATGGATGAATCACTGTATTATAATGTCGTTAATTTTTTGTAGAAGATACTTAGAAGGGGAATAGATAAGTTGAATGGAATTTCTGTTTTAGTTTTTTGAGGATTCTTCATTGTGATTTTCATAGTGGTTGTACTAGTTTACATTTCCACCAACAATGTAGCAGGGCGCCTTTTTTCCCCTGCAGTCTTGCCATTATTTGTTATTGTTTGATTTCTTGATGATGTCCATTCTTTCTGGATTAAGATGAAATCTCAGTGTTGTTTTAATTTGCATTTCTCTGACCAGAGATGTTAGACATATTTTCATGTATTTGTTGGCCATTTCTACCACTTCTGAGAAGTATCTGTTCATTTCAAGTGCCCATTTTGATTGGATTTATTATTCTGGAAGATCAAATTCTTTTGAGTTCTTTATAAACTCTAGGTATTAGTCTTCTGTCCAAGGAATAGCTGGCAGAATTTTTTCACATTGTGTTGGTTGTCTCTTCTCTTAGGTTGGTTGTTTCCTTTGCTATGTAGAGGTTCTTTGATTTGGTATAATCTCATTTATTTCCTATGTAATTGGGATTCTATTTAGAAAGTCCTTATCTATGCCTGTGTCTTTAAGGGTTTTACCTGTTTTATCTTCCAGCAAATTGTTTATGTTTTAATATCTAGATCTTTGATCCATGTTGATTTTATTTTTGTGCATGGCAGTAGATATGGGTCTAGATTCAGTGTTTTACATGAGTATAACCAGTTTTCCCACCACCATTTTTAAAAAATGCTACCATTCTTCCAGTGTATGCTTTTGGCCCCTTGGTCAAAATAGAGATGACTGAATGTCCTCCCATGGGTTATTTCTGTGTCTTCTTTTCTTTTGATCTGTGTGTCTTGTTTTTGTGTTTGTACCATGCTGTTCTTAACACCATAGCTTTGTAATGTAGATTGAAATCTGGGATTGTAATGCCTTCTGCCTTGTGTTTGTTGCCCAGGATTGCTTTTACTATTCTGGATCTCTTCTGGTTTCATGTACATTTTCTCTAGTTTTGTGAAGAATGCTATTGGCATTTGGATTGGGATTGTACTAAATCTGTATTGTCAATATTTTGACAAAATTAGTTCTACCCATCTAGGAACATATAGTTCTATTTTATGAAGTCATCTCCATCTCCTCTTTTTGACTACTGTACTTTTTGTTATAGAGGTCTTTCACTTCTTCAGGTAGGTTAATTCCTAAATACTTAATTTTTTATGTTATTGTGAGTGATACTGTTTTCCTAATTTCTTTCTCAGAAGAAAGAAATGGTATACATGAGAATGCAGTTCTTTTGCATTTATTTAAGTAAGCTTTTATGGGCTAGTATGTGGTCTGTTTTGGAGAAAGTTCCATGTGCTGATGAGAAGAATGTATTCTGTTGTGGTAGAGTAGAACACTGTCTATTAAATCCATTTGTTTGATGGTATGGTTCAGCTCTGATATTTAATCTTTGTTGATTTTTTTTGTTTAGTTGATTTGTTTGTGAAAGTGGTATATTGAGGTCTTCTGTTATGCTTCTGTTGGTGTTTATTTGATCTTTTATGCCCAGTAGTGTTTGTTTTATGTAGTGGGACACACTGGTATTCAGTGCATATATAGTTATAATTGTTATGTTTTCCTTTTGAATTGTTCCTTAAACTAATATGTAGTGACCTTCTTTACCCCTTTTGATCAGTTATAGATGGAAGTCCACTTCGAGAAAAATTGTAACTGTACTTGTTTTGGGGATCCTGATGCGTGGAATATTGTTCTCCATCCTTTGATTTTTAGTGTATGGATTTCTCCTTGGAGTATGTGGGTCTCTTTGATGCGGCAAAGTTATATTTTACTTTTTGATCCAGTCATCCAGACTGTCTTTTAGTTTGAGGAGTTGAGGCCATTTACATTAGAGTAATTCTTGAAAGATATTGCCTTATTTTTGTCATTGCACTATTTTTCTGTTTATTCTTTTATTTCTCCTTTTTGTTTACTCATCCTGCTTGTTGTACTCATCAATCAGACTTTGAGGCATTTTTGGCTTTGTTATTGCTGAGATATTCTTGAGAGTTTCTTAGAGTGCTGTTTCAGTGTTTATAGATTTCTTAAGGTATCCTTTGTCATGGAATGTCCTTATTTTTCTGTAAGTTTTGAAAGATAGTTTTGTAGTCTGGGTTGAAAATTTTTTTTTCATAAGGCTTGAGACAGTTTACGCCAAGCTCTTCTGGCCTTTAATATTTGTGTTGAAAAGTCTGTTGTAATCTTAACATGTTGTTTTACTTTTCTAAGTGATTTTTCCTTTTCTCTGACAGCTTTTAAGATACTTTCCTTGTGTTGGACTTTAGGGTTTTGACTATGACGTGGGGAGTTTTCTTCTTCCTTCGTAATTATTTGGGGTTCTGTATTCCTTTCTTACCTTTATGCTGAGTTCTTTACCCAAACTTGGAAAGCTTTTTTTGTCGCTCTTCTTTAAATACCTTGATTAGTCTGTTTGTTAATTCTCTTATCTTTTGTTGTTATCTTTGAACTTTCCAGGTTTCTTTTTTGATCATTTTGTATAGTTCAAGCATTTGGTGATTGATTGCCTCTCCATCGGTGCCTCTTGCTTCTGTTTTGGGGAGTTGGGAGTTTTTAAGAGGCATTTCATTGCCTTTTTTTAATGTTTCTTTTTTTTTCTTTGTTCTGAGGGTCAAGATCACACAAATTGAAGAGATTTTCATTGTTGGTATGAAATCTCTTTAGAGTCTGTTTTTCAATGATGTGATCTTGGCTTCATTTCTGAAATGATACTACCTACCACTTTTGAGTAGACCTAGTCACTGCTTACCTCCAGTGCTTGATTTAGAGAAGCTTACCCTTGCTGTTGCCTGCTAGGCAGCCATGATTTGCTGTACTGTTTGTTTTCCGAGACAGAGTCTTGATACATAGACAAGACTGGCCTTGAACACAAGATCCTCCTCATCAGTCACCCCTGTGCTGGAATTATAGGCATGTGCCACCATGGCTAGGTAGTTTATGTTTTTTTCTTTCCTTCGGTACCAGGAATTGAACTCAGGACCTTGAACTTGCGAGCTAGGTGCTTGTGCCGCTGAGCTATATCCCTAGCTTTAGTTTATGATTTTTATACAGGCATATTTGTTAGTTTAGCTTAGTTTGGCTTGCTGAAAGTAAGCTGAAAGGGAAAATATAGAAGATTATTTCTGGTATTTGTTGCATAAACAGTGCTGTATGTCTTGGACAGAATCTTGTGAGCTGGCAGTGTTATTCTTTTACTCATTTAATTTTTAAGGGTTATTTCCATATCTTTTGAACCTTATGTAAAAGAAAGTTTCATGAAAATGAATTTAAAAATTACATCTTTGCCTTTTATTTCTTTGCATTTGTGGGGATTGAACCCAGGGCTTTGGTGGATGCTAAGCAAGTGCTGTATCACTGAGGTTTTACCCTCCAAACTCCCCTTAGCTTTCTTACTTCTTTTGTTTTCTTTTTGTTGGTCGTACTGAGGATTGAACTCAGGGCTTTGCATGTGCTTGGCTGATGTTCTGCCACTGTGCTATATTCCCCACCCTCTTTGCTTTTTTTTTTTAGTCTGTCATTGTAAAACTTGCTTTTTGGTGAGAAATAAAACATTACTTTAATAAACTTTCCATTGATATATTTTAAATTGAAAAATACTATATTATAGGAAAAATATATCTTTCAACCACAGTTAAATATATCTGTACAGTATCATAATTCATAGTTGTTTTTCTTGATAATGGAGAATAAAGCTTTCACTATTTCATGTTATTTAATCAAATGTTATGAGGAGTCTGTGTATTTGTTTTGGGGAAAATATTTTTTCTTTCAGGTATACATACGAAAATATAACGTCAAACTACTATTTTCCCCAGGGTCCTAGGAATCAGACCCAGGCCTTGTGCTTTTTAGGCGAGCATCAAGATTAATGTCTAATTATAATGGCAGTTACTTCAAAAGTGGTGTATATATGTTGTAGTAATTGTGAACCGTTAAAAATTCTTATTTGTAAGAGCTTAAGTAATTTAAAACTTATATATAAGAAAGAACCTAGAGAATGTTGTATATGCCAAGGCATTAAGCATCTCTCTTTGGAGATTGTGGGTGGCTTTAAATTTTCTTTCAGAGCAGCAAAAATAAATTTTCTTTTTTGTACTTCTCTCTTTCCTATTTTCTAAATGAATGTGTATTAATTTCATACTTAGAAAATAATAAAAGATTTTAGTAGTTAATATTGGGATTTGAAAAGATTTTGCTGCCCAGATTGCTTAGCAAACATTTTTCACCCTAGCAGTATGTGTGTTTTAAGGTCTAGGTAACTTAGGTATGATTTAGAAGGGAAGAGAAATTACTAGAACTGGAAAATAGGATGGTTTACATTTTGTTCTGAACACTGTTTCTCTTTTTTTTTTCCATGTACTGCTAGCGACACAGTCCAGTAAGTAAAAGATTTTATATTTTTGCCTGAGTCTTTAGAAAGCAGTTGTAATGTTTGAATATTGATTTTCAAAATATTCAGTATCTAATAATCTAGGTTATTAGATTATCTTGTTATAGTGTCTTGCTGTAGGTACTCTTAGTATTTTAGCAATATTTCATTTTATATTAAATGTACATGTATTATTTTAAAATATAAAACAAAAGTACTGAAAGCTTTTCCCATACTTTATGTAACTTAAAGTTGAGCAGATATATTAAAAACAACTTAAAACTAGGCTCTCAGCATTTACATTTTACCAAATATTTTATTACCGTATTATTTGTTTAATGGTAATTTTGCATTTCTCTTTTAGGTACAGATGAATCGAAATTCCTCTAGTAAGTCTCACATTTGAATTGATTATTTTTTCTATTAAAATGTATTAGGCAATTTGTTAGCCTTAGGAGTTATAGAAATAAATGATTTTTTCCATCATTACTAATGTTACCAGTCAGCTAGAAGGGTATTTTCCTTAAACATAGAGCAACATATGGATATTATTTCTTAGAGCACTAACAGGCATGGCAAAATTTAATAAATAGCTCTAAAAGTATTCAGAAATTAACAAAGCTAAATGTTAAGATGGTATTTAATAAATATCTGACCAAGAATGTTAAAATATTTCATTGGCATACTCTGTTGCAGGAATCAGAAAGCATTTATAAAATGATGTTTAGCTTTACCTATTTTTTAGTTACAGCACAATTGCAATTTCTATTGTATGACTTTGAAAACAGTAGCTTAATAATACAAAAAATTTTAGGATGTTAACACTTTTTGCAGAATTATGCATTAAAAGTAATAAGAGTTATTGGAAAAATAGAGTTGAAGCAGCCAGCTCAAAAGCTATGCAAATTTGTGAACAGAATACCTGAGAAAATATATATCAATCTTAATTGAAATTAAAACACAGTTTAAAAGATCAATTCATAATAAATATCAAATATAAGATGTTTTTATTAAAAAGAAGTATGAATGTTAGCTTGATGATGGGAGTTTTAGGGAAAATGAGGTCTTCTTAAAATGAGACTTTTGAATTATGAAGATGAGGGAGAATACAGAGAAATGGATAATAGTACAATAAGCATTCTGAGGCAGCACAAACAGCCAAATGGAAAAATATAGTGTGAATAGGTATTTATTTCTTGGAGATGCATAATGTTAGGTGCAGGGCAAGTTGCTTATACCCCAGCATGACTTTTACATTACTAATGCTATTCCTGTTTCTCACTTGTTTTTTAAATGAGAAGCTTCACAAATGCAATCATTAGTAAAACAGACAGTTGTTCCAGGTTGCTATACAAATTTTAATTTTCCAAAATAGGATTTCCTTCAAGAGCTAATCATAACTTTTGGCCAATGTAATAAGTATTAATAGAAAGCTTTTGTAAATAAGGAGGGGAGAAGGAGGTTGAGGGGAGGGGAATGGGAATGGGGAAGAAAGAAGCAAAACTAATAAATACAAAGATTCTTTAATGTAAAGAAAATTCTTAGAACTTGAAAATGTTTTTATGGTTCATCAGTTAAAATTCTTGAGCAGAATTTGTGTATGTATGTAGATGTTTTCTTCTGTTTTTGAAAGTTACAACCTTTATTTTTCTCCTTTAAACAATAATTTTATTTTAATGAATAGTGTACTTTAGTTGATAATGAGTAGTTTCTTACCAGAGTTATTGGAAGAAATCAAAATTCAGCAGAAATTCAGCTATGTACTTTCTCCTTGTTTATATTAAAATTATTACTTCCAAAATTTTTGAATTGTTCACAGCATTGGGATATGTATGTAGTTTACCTGTTTTGCTAAAATGTTGTATTTCTCAGATTATGAATTTTCTGATAATATTTTAATTTTTTAATTAGGTGAAGAGTTAACAAAATCAAAACCATCTGCTACACCCAATGAGTAAGTTCCACTTTTAAAAATAGACTATATTTTCAAATGATTTTAGGTTCAGAGCAAAACTAATGGAAGATACAGAGGTGTCCCATATTTTTTCAGCCTTCCCATCATAATCCCTCACCAGAGCAGTACATTTGTTACAGGTGATGCATCTGCACTTAGACACCTCATAATTACTCAGTCTCAGTGTACCTCAGGGTTCAATCTTGACGTTGTATGTTCTGAGTTTTGATAAATACGTAGTGACATGTATCCACCATTGTAGCATCATACAGAATATTTTAACATCTTCTGTTCTCTGTTTATCTCATTCTTGTTGTCACATTTAGATTTTTGGTATCCTGCTGTTGTCCTTTCTTCTGAGAGTTTTCTAGAGAATTACCTTTCTGCAGTTTCAGTGCTATTAAAGTGTTAATCATCCTGTTCTCTAAATTATGAAAAGTTATGTTGGAGTTTTTAGGTATTTTTCACTTAATAATATTTTTACAGTTTTTTTTTTTTAAACTGCATTTGCTTGTGGTGGCCTCAGTGCTGCTAAATAAATGATGATATAATCTAAGTTTATACAAGTCTGTGTTTCAGCTAGTTGTTGTCAGGGAAGTTTTCTTGTTTCATCCCTTAATTTTGCCTGTAACTTTATAAAATATTTCATGAGCTCCAAAATGGGAATGGATGTCAAGATGAAAAGACAGAGAGGGCCAAGTGACATGTTGCCAGGTCTTCTTAAAATGAATAAAAAGTATTAAGCTAATGTTGCATGAGTCTGTATTTTTCTACTTGTAAGAATATTTTAAGTTCATGTTTCTTAATGAGTAAAATGTGGACTTAATTGAATTGTTTTGCAAGATAACTTGTTTAGCATTTAAAATTTTTTTTTTTTAAGAATTTTTATGCAGTCACAGTATTAGGCTTTCTCATATAATGTATAGTGTGCATAGGTATGCGTTCAGATACTAGATAGGTACTTTTAGATTACCGTAACATTTTTACTATAGTGGGCCGGCTTTCTACTTAAGATTTCTTAAGATATTTTAAAATTTAATGGCAGTTTTAATATATTAAAATACTCAAACCATAGTTCTGTACTTCAAAGGACTTCTACAAATTCCTTTGCTCTTTGTATCCATCTTTGAAAAAAGTGTGGCTTTGTAAAATCTTAATGGATTTCATATCACTTCAATTTTCTGTCTGAGACTGGGTACTAGATATGAATCAGCTGAGCTGATACTATCTTAGAATCAGTTTAGCTGTCTGTTTTGGACTGTTCATTTTAGACCCTTTGTGCCGCTTTCCTTCATTTGTAAAGCTAAAACCATCATTTCCATTTTGACAGCACCTCAATGTTGTTAGACTCCAACCAGGTATGACCTAGGGAATAATTCCCTGTTCTGCCCTGCCAACATCATATGATGTTATTTTAGGTTCTGCTAAGTCTATTAAGTTACTTACATAAACCATTGGCAGTGTATCCAGCCTTTTAATTGTGTATACTAAGCTGTTAGAATTCTGTGAAATAAAAATAGGTGACTAGATTTTCTACTAATAAAATGTTCTTTTGTTAAAATTATTTTTTTAATGGCATGATAGAAAAGGGACCAGTGACTTACTTGCGTGGGATCCCCTATTTGGACCAGCGCTTGATCCATCATCTTCAGCTTCACTAACTTCATCATCATCAGGTAAATACATATATATTTTTTAACTTGAGGGATATAGTAGGGTTTTTTTCCTAATTGATGTATTTAGCCTTTGTATATTGTATTTAATGATATAAAACTTTTTTTTAACTTGTCCTCTGATCATATTGGCAGATACAAATAACTTTATCCTGGCTTTGTTAGCTTGAAGACCCCTTGGCTTAAATAATAAAAAGACATCAAATACCAAGAGGGTTTAAAATTGATGTATTTATCTCTCGTCATCATACCATATCATTACCCAAATAATCTGTTTATAGATAATTCAAATGCACAGTCAGGTAGTAAAGTAATTGGTCCTTTCTTGATGAACATTAAAGTTCTATTTTATTTTCCATTGTGTACATCAGTGGAAATAACAAATTTTGTTTACATCTCATAATACCCTTGTGATAATGATGAATATAAAATGTGTGGGTTACAAGATATGTTCATTGATACGTTTTGCTAAGCTGCTTTTTAGATAATTTTTTTTTTTTACCATTTTTTTTTTTTTTGGTACCGGGAATCAAACTCAGGACCTTATGCTTGCCAGGCAGGCACTTGTGCCACTGAGCTATATACCTGGCCTAAGCTGCTTTTTAGAAAGAATTTAACACTTGCCAAACAATATATGAAAGAATTTGATGAATGCTTTTTAGTTGTCATGTTGGCAAAAATAAGTTGTTTCTCTTTTCTTTGAAATATACAGTTCCCATAAGCCAAAAATCAAAGCAGGCATCAAAAATGCATGCAATATAAAACCGTTTTGTTCAGAACAAGAAAATCAAATCACTTTAAGTCGACTTTCTGTTCTTTCTCTGAGATTTTGAATTGCCAGGTTAAGAGGATACTGGAGTCTTAGGGTTACTTCTTAAATTTGTTGTGATCATGCTATGTCAGTCTGCTAGGAGCTACTTGTTTAATTTCGTGATGTTATTATCTTACATGAAATCCTTTTTATTGTCTTTATTTAATAGATGAAAAATGTAAGCTCAGAGATACTAAATACCTTCTCCAAGATTACATAGCTAGGAAATGAAGAGAACAAGATTCAACTTGGCTTTTCCTAATTCTAAAATCATTGTTCTGTATGTCACATTTCAGCAAATAAACAGCAACAAAAGGCTAGGCTGAAACATTTTACAATTAACAATAAAATATTTATATTTTAAAATAGGTTATTTAGAGAGTATTTTAAAAAGGAACTGTGAGCGCATTACATATGTTAATTCACAGTGTTTGGAATTTTGAAGGAAGGGTATCTGTACCTAGTATTTCAAAAATGGTCAATTGATAGCTGAACATATCCTAAAGTAATATTATGGTCTTTCTCAGCGGTATCTGTTCTTATTTAGTGTTGTAAAACTAACTTTACAAGTTTGTATGGGAAGTAATTACAGAGGTCTCTTCTGTGTTTAGTAAAAATATCAGAGTAATATTTTGCATTTAGAATAAGGAGTTCCTAAGCAGTGTATGTGTGTTAATTACTGGGGATTGAACCCAGGGTCTCATACATGCTAGGCAAGGGTTCTGCATAGCACTGAGCCACACCGCTTTACCCATTTTTCAAATTTTTTTTATTTTTTGAGGCAGTGTTGCTAATTGCCCCTGCGTAGCCATGAACTTGTGAACAGCTTGCCTCAGCCTTCCCAGTAGCTGGGATTACAGGCATGCTACCATCCCCCGACCTAAGTAGTATTTTAAAAATTTGTTAACCTCCTTTTATTAATTATTTCTTAAAAATCTTCAATGAAAAATTTTAAATTGGTATCAGGGACTTTAGTTATGTAGCAGTTTCTTCATAATTCTGCTCATTGTTTCTTGCTTTTTTTTTAGTATAATCTCTTTTTTAAAAAGTTCTTCCTTGTTACCTATCTAAACAATATTGTACTTATATTACCTTCACTTGAGGTAAAAACAATTTATCATTTGATAAATTATTAACTAGGCAATGATAAATTATTAACGTTTTGTTTTGCTGGTTCTGTTTTTAATTTATGTTTTGTTTTGTTTTTTTTTTTTTTTTTTTTTTAAGACAAGGTCTCACTGTGTAGTTCAGGCTGGCTTTGAACTCACAGCCATCCTCAAGTGCTGGGGTTACAGGTGTATGCCACTACACCTGGCCCTTTTTGTTTGTTTTTTAGAAACAAGGTCTCAGAGTATAGTTCAAGCTGTCCCTGAACTCGCCAAGTAGCCCAGCTTGGCCTTGAACTCACAGTGTTCCTCCTGCCATAGTCTCCCAAGTAGATGGGATTACAGGCGTGCACCACCGCGCCCTGCTATTGGTTGTGTTTTTAAACCTTCCTTTATGTTACGAAAAATAGCAATTATTTGTGCTTCAAAATATGTTAGTAGTACTCAAAAAAGATAATCAGGCTGAGGATGCTGAGTAGAACAGTGCTTGCCTAGCATGTGCTAGACCTTCAGTTCAGTCTGCAGTGCTCTCTCCTAATAAAGATAAGCTGAAAAGATTTAGGAAAAAAGATAATAATGGTATTCTATAATAATTATTATTAAGCTTTCACTTGAACAGAATATAATTATTGGTCAAGCTGACTGATACGGTATTGTGATTCTATTATTTTACAAACTGGCCCTGGGCTCACTTTGTAGCCCAGGCTGGTCTTGAACTCGCAAGGATCCTCCTGCCTCAGCCTCCCAAGTGCTGGGATTACAGTTGTGTGCCACCATGCCCCGCTAAGACTTCAGTGTTTTCTTTCTTTCTTTCTTTCTTTTTTTTTTTTTTTTTGGTGGTACCAGCACTTGAACTCATGACTTCATGCTTGCCAGGCAGGCGCTGTGCTGCTGAGCTACATCCGCAGCTCCTTAACTACAATTATGAAATACACATTTTGTCTCAAATTTTGTTCCACCAGTTTTTGCAATTCACGTCTCCCCCATCTTAACATCCTCTGCTCAGGTACTTGTTTTCACATTTTAGCAAGGTCCAGGTTGTGAGATTATTCCCTACTGCCCCTCGTCTCTTTCACAATCTTAATTCTGTCAGTTAATAAGGTTGAAAATGTTGCATAGAGCTTGGTTGAGTAGTTTCTGTTTCATCTTGTACCACATAGACTATAAGTAAGCACATGTTTATTTCAAACATGATGATATACCAAGATTTGCGTATGTTTTTAAATGTAATGTAACTGTTTCATACCCAACTTCCCTTTGAGAAGGGCCCTGTAGATTATTTTCTTCTCTGCCCATGGATTAATTGAGCTCTTGTGCTCTGCTAAGACCCTTTAAAATTATCTTTTAAAAATATTAAGCTCATTTTAATAATGCCAGTGCTGATTTACTTCCTATTTACTTCCTATAGGAGCTTCCTGTGACAGTTTTATTACTGGTCAGGAATTTTGTGGAGTGCCATATGTACACAAGCATTACTTTGTCATCTTGTCAAATCTTTGTAGACCTGGTTCTCACTGTTACGGCTACCTTGTTTCTCTTGAAAAATAAATAATTCTGACTTTATGTAGCTTTTGGACCTTCAATTTTATATAAACACGGACTGCATTTTTTAATATACCATAAATTTCTTATGTTTGTACTTACTTCCCTCAGTTAATACAAAGTTTGAGGATGTAGCTCAGTGGTAGAACACTTGCCAAACATGCCTGATGCCCTAGGTTCCATCCCCAGCTCTATAAAAGAATAAGTAAGATAAAAAAATTTTCTGAGTTCATGCTGTTTCATGTGTTATTTTTTGTAGTTTCAGGTAATTAAAATAACATTAACTTGAAACAAGGGAACTATGTGGCTATGTAGATACACATTGTAGTTGCCTTTGTCATTGGCTGGAGAATCTAGATTAGTCTCTCCTTTGTTCAGGTAAAGAATGACATGGCAAATGTGTTACCTTTGCGCTTAGCTAGTATCTATGAGCAGGTGCAGATTAGCTCTTACCACCTATGTTTTTATCTTTTATAGGGCATTTCCTGTTTCTTGAAACACTTCGACATTTGTAGCAGTGAGCTCCACCACCAGAAAAAAAACAAAATACACTAGAACACTTAAGAATATAATCATTGCGTACTGCAAAAATTCACTAACAAAATTTTTTAATTAAAAAAAGAATGCAAATTGTTGTACTAGTCTACTCTAGAGGCTTCTAAAAGCCATGCCTAAATGGCATACACAGATAAAATATTCATTTATAAACAGTAATGTTAGTAAGTATTGTTACTAGCTTTCCTCAAAAAGCAGATTCTGATTGTTTGAAGGAGCTAAACTTCACACTTTGACAAGGCTTTGTTTTAGTCTGTTTAAATACCATTTTTACAGGCTTCCTGATCAGTGATGAGCCTTCAGATAGAAGGGCCTCTGCTATGTTACATTGTCTCACCAGTTTGAAGTAAGAATATGTGTTGATGCTGGTTTCATTAATGAGTATGTCTTTAAAAGAGATTTATCATAACACAAGGAAATGTGCAGTCAGTGCAGTGGCCCCTAGGTTGCTGCACATTTCTTTCAGAGTACAGCTTACACTGAATGCAGTGTGAAAGGACTGGTGTTATCCAGAAGAAAGCAGCAGCCTCAGAATCTAAGTGTGATATCGTACCATTCTTAATTGTTTTCAGCAAACAACCCTAAATGGTGTTTGCATCATTTATCCCCTCATATGATACGCTTTTTGTGTTTGTTTGTTTTTTGGTTTTTTTGAGGCAGGGTCTTGCTGTCTAATCCAGGCTGGCCTCAGACTCACTAGGTAGCCCAGGTTGACTTCAAACTCATGGCGATCTTCCTGCCTCAGTCTCCTGAGTGCTGGGGTTATAAGTGTGGGCCACCACACTCAGTCTGATGCTCTGTCAATGATGCCCCACCTCCCAAAAGAAGGAACTCTTCTACATTGTTGGTAGGAATGTATACATAGTATATTAGTGTATTAGTATACACTATGGAAATCAGTATGAAGATTCTTCACAAAACTAAAACTAGAAATGATGCCCTTTCTAGGTACCATTCCCAAAGAATTAAAGGCATCATATTACAGTGATACATGCATACTCATGTTTATAGCAGCACAACTCATAATACAGTAGTTAAGTCTTGGAAGTGGTCTATATGTGTATTAACAGATGCATGGATAAAGAAAATGTGTTTATACACAACAGAGTACTAATCTGCCATGAAGAAGGGTAAATTCAAGTTATTTGTAGGAAAATGAATGCACCTTCAGATCTTAAGGTTAATTGAATTAAGTCAGACACATAAGCTTAAATATTGAATGATCTCTCTTAAATGAGAAATGCAATATAAATAAATTAAAAAGCAAAAAAAAGATAGATACTAGGAAACAGGAAGATAGGGCTTTTCCAAAAGAGAAGGGGACCAGGAGATGGAGGGAGGGGGAGAGAGGGTAGGGTAAGAGTAGGGGATGCAAAGAAGAATTCTGATGTATTCTATGTATAGCAATCCCTACAATGAATATAATCATGTCCTGCAAACATGTACTAATAAAAAGAAAGATTCCCCCCACCTCCCATTCATCCTTCCAGTCCGTGACTGCTCTTTTATCTTGCAGTCACCTCCATCACCATCCCTATTCCTCCAAGAGCCTTCAGCTTGACTGCTTGTTTCCCTCTGTGTATACTTAGCTACATTAGATGTTTGCGTATCTGTAATATATGCTTGCTGAATGCATTTCTTCCCATAATATTTTTTAGTTTCTGAATGATAGCCCATATTTTAGAATGGACGAAACAGTTTAGAAATAATTTTAATTTCTTTAAAAATAATTTAAGTGTGGGGCTGGGGATTTAGCTCAGTGGCAAAGTGCCTGCCTCGCAAGCACAAGGTCGTGAGTTCGATTCCTGGTACCGGAGAAAAACCAAAAAAAAAAAAAAAAAAAAAAAAATTTAAGCGTGTTTATGTCCATTTTTCACTACTACTAAAAAATTTGTGACTTTTGATACTGTATACCTAGCTTTCATGCAGTAATTTCTATATGAGTTTTTAAAATTAGGAATAGTGATTTTTAAAATTTTAAATTTCTAAATGGCATTGAAAAACAGTGGTTACTAAATTTGTAAAGGATTTAAGAAAAATTAAGATTATTGTGAACACAGCAAAATAATTGTAGTGATTTAGGGCAAACTAATAGAATATTTTTAATGCTTCTATTTATTTCTGAAAATGTTACAGTGTGGTTCAACTCAAAAGTCAAATTAAGACGTTCAGTTAAGGTGTTTTATGTAGAATTCATGTTATAAAAAATTGATCTTACTACTGTCGTCAAGTAGAGGTGTTGGTAGAAACTAAAGACTTTTGGCCTAAAATTGGTTTATTTTCATGAGCAAATTTATCAGACTTAACATTTTATATGTATAAATAATTGAAGCAAATGAAATGTGTATATATGTCAGTTTTGTTCAAAGGTTAATGATTTTTTTTTTCAGGAATATTATAACTTTAAGAAAAGCATATTTGATGGGTAGATTCCCAATATTTTAACAAACACATATATATCGCTTAGAAAATGAACATGAAGGGGCTGGGGATTTAGCTCAGCGGCAAAGCGCCTGCCTGGCAAGCGCAAGGTCGTGAGTTCTGTTCCCGGTACCGGAGAAAAACAAAAAAAAAAAAACAAAAAAAACCAAACAAACAAAAAAAAGAAAATGAACATGAATCTTAACAGTTCTTATATAATAGAATGTCTTAATTGTAAGGATTGTTACATACTAATGATTTTCTTCAAATTCTCTTTCCCGCCCCACCAGCCAGGCCCACAACTCCTCTTCCTGTAGGCACCATTGTCCCGCCTCCAAGGCCTGCTTCCAGACCAAAGCTTACTTCAGGCAAACTCAGTGGGATTAATGAAATAGTATGTACTCAAGTGGTTTTAAAAATTATATAACTGTTTTGATTTCAGATATAAGTGATATTTTTCTGAATGCCCTGATACAGTTAAATGCTTGGTTTTCTACTTGAGTCCTCAAAATACAGAAAAATTTGCCCAAAAAATGTATTCTTTGCTCTCCCTTATAATCTCATCAGTCATACCTGTGAACCCACACATTGTCCAAGAGGAAAGAGATTTCTGAAAAACAAGAAACACAAACAAAACCACCATTCAGTATCCATTGTCTCACAGTAACAAAGCAATTTTCATATAATTCTGCTTAAAGTCAAACAGTAAGGAAGAAATGGTAGTGTTATTATGCTTAGAAGTATACTGCCAGGAGGCTCCTTGTATGTATCTTATTCAGCTTTGTATATCCTATACATAGGAAACTGGAATCCATGTCAGTTAATTGACATAAAAGAACACGTGTGGGTGGGGGAATTGGGAGCTCTGGTCTCACAGTGAGATCAGTGGACTCTATTCAGAGTGAGGCCCTCCCATACCAGACTTCGCTTCTGATCTATTCTGTTTTGCTTCATTTTCTATAGTAATTGCTAGTATACTTGCCAGAATTAAATTTCTAAAGGTTAAACATCTTATTTTTTTCTTGATATGTATTCCCTTGCTACCATAATCCAAGTGGGTGAATATTTTAGCTGAATGTACAAGACTCTGTAAAGTTGCCTCGGCGATCTGCATCACCAGGCTAACTGCCCAACTTTCTGTTTCCAGCAAAGGTTCCTGCCACTTGAAACTTTCGAGTATTCCCCAAATTGATCATGCTCTTTTTTGGGGGAAGGGTGTAGGGGATCGAACCCAGGGCCTGTGCTACATCCATATTTTTTTAAATGTTTCATACATCCATATTTTTTTTAAATGTTCCTTTGGTTTGAAGTACCTTTCAGTTTTCTCTGTAGCAAATTGGCCTACTTAAGACCTAGTTAAATGTCACCACCTACAGAAAACCCTCTTTGATCATTCTATCACTCCTCCAGCAGATTTTTCTCTTATTCCCATATACTTACTTATATTTCTGCTAGTGCACATAGTACATTATAGTGATTTTCTTTATGTTCCTCTTACTGACCTGCTATAGCCAGCTTCGTATCCTTAGTATTTTGAATAATGCCTGTCACATGGTACATACTTAGGAAAACGGTCAGTGAATAGATGAAAAGCCTTGAGCACCATGTGTTATAAATGGTGTTATCTTTCTTTTACTTCCATATTGAGTGAAATGACTGACTGGAAGTGAAATGAAAAACAAGATACAGGCTGCCAAGATGGCTATAATTGAAGTGACATAAGAGTTACTATATCGTAATAAGTTGACTAATACAAAATTATGTTCATTACAAAATCTCAGTGCTTGATCATTTTGTAAAATTTGGAAATGTAGAAAACAGACTATTTAAAATTTCCTGTATTAATACCCAAAGACAATCTTGTTAAGATGCTTATATATGTATTTCTTTTCATTATTTTCTGAATGTATAAGTATTTGTACAGAGATAAAGAATAAAGTTGATAAAAATACAGACTTAAACCGGGCATAGTGGCGCATGCTTGTAATCCCAGCACTTGGGAGGCTGAGGCAGGAGGATTGTTGGGAGTTTGAGGCCAGCCTGGGCTACAAAATGAGTTTAAGACTAGCCTGAACTGCAAAGCAAGACCCTATCTCAAAAAGACTAAAATAAAATAAAATAAAAAATACAGACTTATGAGGCACATATTAGCCAAGCAACATTAGGTACATTATTTACTGAGTCCCCATTTTATCATGGGTAAAATGCATATAATAATACTAGGTTGCTGTGAAACTTAAAACGACTTAATATGTGTCAAATGACGTCAAATGCAGGTATGGTCAGAAAAGTACGTATTTTTAAATAAAAAGTTATACTATTCATAGTTCTAGATAATTTTTCACTAGAAAATATTTTGGGGATGGCTTTCTAAATCATGAATTATTGGTAGGCATAGCGATAAAAACTCGTGAATTATTATTTCATGGTTTTCAAGAGAATCCTTTGTCAAGTAATTATATACTTAAGAGGATTAAAATAAACAGAGTCAAGCTGGACATGGTGGGACAGGCCTGTAATTCCAAATGGCTGAGTCAGGAGGATCATTGGGGGATAGAGGCCAGCCTACACTACATACTGAGACCCTGTCTCACCACCCCTCTCCAAAATAAAATAAAAATCAAGTCAGACTTTTGTAGTTGAATCTTTTATATCAACCTCCTTTCCTAGAAGTCCTCTTCTGAGATGTTTCTAGAAACTAACCTGAGGGTTTCACAGAGAACCATTTGAAGTGGATAGAGTATTTCAGTGTTTAAATGCTCTGTCTTCTATACAGTTGTCAGAATTAAATTCCTAAAAGTTTTAGAAATTTATTTAACCTTTAGTTTATTTCAGTTTTCATTGTTATAATGTTTTAATGAACTTACGTTTATTTCTTTGAAAACAGTTCCTTAATAAAATATTCTTAAAGTGAAATTCATGAACTAAATGTACATTTTAAAGATTCTTGATAATTATTGCTTTATTGTCTACTAGTGAGCCATACCCTCCCTACCCACTAAGGGAACCCCTCTTTGTTCTAGAGCAGCTGCACTCAGAGGGGAGTCCCAGACCAGTAGAATTATCATCTCCTGAGAACTTGGTAGAAATAATCTCTCTGGCTTCACTCCAGACAAATCAGAAATTCAAGGGAGGGGCCTAGCAATTGTGTATTAAAAAACCTTCTAAGTGATTCTCATGCACACCAATCTTTGAGAACCACTGTTTCGAAGCAGTGCTACCTAATAGAAATATAATTTAAGAATATATGTAAGTTTAAGATTTTTAAGAGCCATGTTTAAAAACAGCAAAATTCAGTCTAATATATCTTATTTATCCCATATATCAGAAACATTATATTTAGAACAATGAATGAGATTTTACATTCTTTTTATGTATATGCCAAGTCCACTCTGTGTTTTATAGTTGTATAAACACATCTTAATTTTGTTCTATTGGCAGTTCAAGTCCTATTGGCAATTGTACTGCACAGCACAACTCTAAAAATAGAATAAAACCACTTAAGAAAATAGCAATTTCAGGCTTTTCCTTAAGAACTGTAAAATGCATTATAAAAATGTGACCACATCATATTGTTCACATTCGCCATGTTGAAGTAAGAGAAAAATCTCTCAACAGTAGTTAATCTCAGGACTTTTTCCTAAGCTTAAGTTTCAGATGAACTGTTGAATTCTCTATCTGTTCAGCCCTTTACCATTTTCATGTGTATAAATATATAACTGTATTTTTAGCACCAGGCTATATTTTTAATGTGTTGTCTGTGGTGGTGTCATTAGAAAGGTGTACTTAGAAAAAATTGCTTAAAAGTACTTAAATGAGTGGAGGGGTGACAAATGGTAAAATACTTTGCGTACTATCTGTGTTGGCATTAATATAATGAAGAATTGATTAATTCAGTGTAGGAGTACTTACAGGGTTTTATGTGTTTGTTTTTCATGCCTCTCACATTAGAAAGGACGGTATCTTTTCTGTTCACTCCTTTGTACCTATTACCTAATCCAAGGGCTGCCATATAGTAGGCACTAACTATTTGTTGCTTTTATAAGCAGAACAAAATTATTTTTAATTAAGGTGAATACACCTTTCTTAAAAAAGTGAAACATCTTAGGGAATGTTGCCAATGTGTTATTGGAACAACTAAGAATTTGGAAGTAAAAGGTCCACACATGTAAAAGATAAATGAACTGGAGATATTTTTGCTGTTTGTTTTTATATTTAACTAGGAAAGTGAAAAAGGCAACAGAATTAATACTTTCTTAGGGTGAGCTTTATTCATGAGGAAGCCTTATAAGGAATTACAAAGGCAAATGTGCACAGATTTGTAAACATCAGAAGTAACACGCAAGTGGTATTTAGAGAAGAAAATATTTGTAACAGGATAAAGCGTTAATAAAGGGTTTCAAAAAAAGTAAATAAATAAAGGGTTTCAGTCAGACCATTCATAACAGTGAAAATAGACATTTATTTCTATCAAATTAACTAGAAATATTTTTAATTACCATGTTTTTCTTCTGTGACTGTTTGCTGAAAACTTTCAGAGAAGTAATTTCCTATGTAACAGTAAAGTGAGTAACTGTTTTGGAAAGCCATTTGGTAGTATATGTGAAGAGCCTTCATACTGTTTAAACTAGTAGTTTAGATTCTAAGGATTTATATTAAGTATACTTTTTGAAACACAGAAAGTATTTTATGCACAAAGACCCTCTTGACAACATTATTTTAATACAGCCTTTCATCTTTTGGTGTATTTTTGAAAATGATTTAACATGGCATATCTGAGTTTAAGTTACAAGAAACAGTAAATTTGATTTGGTGTGTTAAAGTTAAACTAACCTGACATAAAAATCTCTGACAAGGAATTATTGTAGTGTTTGATAAATAACTTTGCTTTTAAGCCCAGACCATTCAGCCCACCTGTAACATCCAACACCAGCCCACCTCCAGTCGCTCCTTTAGCCCGGGCAGAAAGTTCTTCCTCTATCTCATCATCTGCTTCATTGAGTGCTGCCAATACTCCAACAGTAGGTAGGTGTTTATCATTGACTATGAAATTTAGTGAAGTATAATCAGGCTCATATTTTTAAAATAGCCTAGTGAGAATTTAACTTATAAATTTTGTTTTTCTAGAAGCACACCTGTTATACTGGCTGTATGTCCTTTTCTATTTCAGTATTTATTATCTCGATGGGAGAATTTTAACTGTGGTTAGCAATATTAAGAGTGAATGAAATTTACAATTGTCAGTATAAACCAGTTGAAGGAAATATATAATGCAGTTCTTTTTGCTGTGAACTGGTAGCTGCATTTTTAAAGTTTGTGTTGAAAAAAATTGTGTTTTGAAAAGAATCAACTTAATGAGGGGCTGGGAATGTGGCTCAGTAGTAGAGCTCTTGCCTTGCATGCATAAGGTCTGAGGTTCGATCCTCAGCACCACATATATAAAAAAAGAAAAACCCAATAATAATAATAAATAAATTAAGAAAATAAAATTTAAAAAAAAGGAAAGAATCAATTTAATGAAAAGAAGGGGTTTTATATTTCAATGAGTATATTTTTTCATCAAAATTGATTTTTAAAGCTATTAATGTATAATTGTAAAAACCTGTCTCATCAAACAAATCCATCATTTTATATATCTAGATTTTGTTCTTTTTTCTGTTACTGTCTTTGCTCATTTTTTTTTCTACAGCTTTTCATTACTTTTCTCACTGCTTGTTACTGTAATAAACAAAGCACAAAGCCACTTAAACACAACAGCTATGTTTTAGGAACAGCAAGTAACTTCTTTTCAAACAGCTTCTCGGTAAAGCCCTCTTGTTGCTGCTTCTAGGTAGTGATGGCTTTAGCCTTGGTAGAGCCAGTCCCAGACTTGCTCTAGAAGAACTATTTCAGTAGTTCTCAAAGTATGGTCCTTGGATCTGCAGCAGATGCATCACCTCATACTTATTAGAAACATAGATTTTAAAATCAGATATTCTGGGAGGAGGCTACTAAGCTGGGGGCTACAGAGGATTCTGATGAGTGCCAGTTCGAGAGTGACAGCACTAAAGCTGAGTTCATTGTACCAGTTTAATTTGTCAGAACCCACATGGGATACATAGTATGTAAGTAGCATAGGCTAAAACAAAATAATGTGTTCTTTTACATACCTTAATGTATGACATTTTTCCCATTTTTTAACTTCATGTAAACTGAATATATATAAATAAGTCCTTTTATTTGGTTTAATGGATTTTTTGTGTGTATGGTATTATGAATTTTTATTCTCATAGTGTTTATATTTTGTTCATAAACATGTGAGAGGGGCCCCTCCTAGAAATCAGACAAGTAGTCTGGATAACCAAAATGAGCTTTAGTTCTTTTTCATTATCTGGGTTGTTCAGAAGGCTTTCTGTCTGTTTATGATAGAAACTTTAAAGTGAATTTTGATTGAATTGGTACATGTTTATCATTTCAGCCAGTGTTGGCAATAGGTGACAATGGTGAAGCGGGCAAGGCAGGTGGATGTGAATTTTGTACAACAGAGGTTCTTTAACTGTACCTAGAAAGTTCTTTTTTTGTCAAGATCTTAGAGCTGGGGGTGGAGCTCAGGGCTGAGGCTTGCCTAGCATGCTTGCCTAGCATGCCTAAGGCCCTGGATTCAATCTGTAGTAGAACTGCCAAAATTTGTTTTTCCTTTTTGTCGCAATGTTTATTCAGCTCTCTGTTTAAAATATTTTTTGTTTCTTAAAAATATTTTCTTTTCCTGCAATATTTTGTTTCATTTAAATATGATAGAAGATGATAATTTGATTGAGACACTCTCTCAAATCGAAAAGCACTGTGAGTCGTCATCAGGTATTGTATCAGACACAAACGTATGTGTTGACTAATGATCCTAAAATGTATCTAAAATGTTCTGTTACCTAGTTTTTCTTTTTCCACAACATATAGTGTCTCAGAAATAGAGAATAATGCCAAGATTAACTGTCTCAATTTTGTGCTAATTATGTCCGGTTGATGAACAAGACCTACTGACATCAAATTCCTAGTTATAAAGACATAATAGTCTATTTGCATTTTCTTCCATTTGCCTGCTCTCTCCTTGCCTCAACATTAAGAAGTATCAATATATCTGAATTCTAAAGCTGTCAGAATCAGAAGAATGTAACTAGTAAAGAACCAGAAAGTATATCAGCTTCAAAAATTTGTGTTATCTAAACTACTGGGGGAAAAGCTGGCATAGGAAATTCATATGGATAGTGAGCTGAAATTAGAAAGCACAGACAGAGGAAATAGTTGGTACTCTTGAGCTGAAAGGAACTCCACATAAATACCACGGGAAGATGCCATGTACCCTTTATTTATCTCACATTATAAGCTGTCTGCCTTTTCAAAATACACAGTTGAGTGTAAATTTGCAGCAGTTATACCAGAATTGGAGACAAATGTTTTCAGTAAGAGTACAAAGTATTTTTCATTTTTAAAAATCATTTATTTAGAATAATTAGTATAAATATAGTTTTTTAGGGACTTGAGTAAATATTTCCTATTTAAGTGAATTTTGCAAGAATACATGTGAAGTACGATTTCAAAAGGAAAGCAAAACTAAAAAATACGGAAGTGGATATGTCAAATGTTAAGTAGATTTTTAGTTTCTCCCTGTTCCAGCACTTCATTTGTCAGTATTTAACAGACATGAGAACTTACAGGGGAAACTATTTCAAGAATTATTGTATATGCCCAAATTCTAGGGTTAAAAGAATAACTATTGGGTTTTTTTTATTCTTCTGTTAACGGTACTGGGAGTGAGACACAGGGCTTCATGTATGCCAGGTGAGTGCTCTACAGCTGTGCTTTATCCCACTCTTACAGGTTTCTTTTCATTTCTACAGTCAAAGCAGACATTAGTGTCGGCCCTTGACTATGTATAATATTCATTTGTGTGAATTACTCAAGGGAAAATGCAAATTTTATGTTTAAGAAAATACAGGTGGCCCTTAGTATCTACAGCAGATTTTTAGGCTCTCCTAAGCCATACCAAAATCCATAGAGATGCTCAGGTACCTTATATAAAATGGTAGAATATTTAAATATTGCTTGCACACATTGTCCTGTATATTTTAAACATCTTTAGATTACTTATAGCACATTGTAAATTCTATATATAAATACTTATTCTATTGTTTCCTTGTCCTTGGAATAATGATAAGGAAAAAAGTCTGTACATACACAGTAGATACCATTTTCTGCCAAAATATTTTCAGTCCACAGTTGAATCTGCAGATGTGGAATCTTTGTATAGTATGTAAAGGGCCAACTGTATACTTCTCTCTTATAAAAAGATTATTTGCTGAGGGTATTTCTCAGTTGTAGAGTTCTTACCTAGCATGAATGAGGCTGTGTATGTGATACCCGGTAATGGAGAGAGGGGACTCAAAATTTTTATAATGACTGGTGTTGGCAAGGATGGGAGGAAATTAGCAAGTTTTATGCACTATTAGTGGGAAAGTAAAATGATACAGCTTCTGTGAGGAAAAAAGTATGGCTGTTCCTCAAAAATTATGAATAAAATTGCCATATAATTTAGGAATTCCACTTCTGGGAATATACCTGAAAGGATTGAATGCAATGTCTCAAAGGGAAAGTTTTATACCTGTGTGTCATCGTAGCATTAGTCACAGTGGCCAGTAAATAGAAGCAACCTGTTTGTTGATAGGTGAGTAATGTATTAGTCAGCTTTCCCATTGCTGAGACTAATTACCCAACATCTGTAATTTAAATGGAGGGGTGGAGTGGTTATTTTTAGCTTTTGGTTTCAGAGGATTCAGTCCCTGGTTGACTGCCTCCAGCACAGAAATAGCATGGCAGAAAGGTGCAGTGGAGCAAAGACACTCATTTCATGGTGACTGGAAGCAGAGCACCAGGGAACAGTGCCAGAGAAGAAAGGGCCAGGGACCAGATATAGATACCAAGGACATACCTCCGTGACCCACCCAGACACACCCTGAACTGCACTTTACTAATCTCCTAGGCAGCTCCCAAGGCAATCAAGTTTGACAGTTACATGCTTAATGGTCACAAATAGCAGAATATTATATATAAGTGTAAACACACAGACACATACAATGGAATATTATTTAGCTTCAGAAAAGGATATTCTGATACATGGTACAACATGAATTAACCTTAAGGACATTGCGATGTCAAACACAGTTTGATTCCACTTATATGAGGTGCTTAGAGTAGTTAAACTGATACAGGAAAAAAGGATGGTGGTTCCCAGAGAATGGGAGAAGGTGGTTATTGTTTAGTAGACATAGAGTTTCAGGTTTATAAGCTGAATTACAGTGATGGATGGTGGTGATATTTAGAGAGCATTATGAATGCATTTCACAGCACTGAACTGTACACTTAAAAATGGTTAAGATCCTAAATTTTATGTGTGTCTTGCCCCAGTAAAAAACAACTAGCTGGGCATGGTGGCACATGCTTATAATCACAGAACTTTGGAGGCTGAGGCCAGAGGATTGCCATGAGTTCAAGCCCAGCCTAAACTACATAGGGAGACCTGGTCTCTAAAACAAAAGTATTGAGAGAAAAAAGATTATTGTAGCCTCCATCTTTGTCTGAACTGCTTTCTTGAGTTTCTGATGATCTTCTAGGTTTACAGTGAAATTTTCCTAGTACACAGAAGTCTACTTTTTTTCTTTACGTTTTCATACTTGTACCCTGAAACTGGTGCTTCCTGATCAGGCCTTTATCTTCTCCCTCACTACTCTCACCTGGTCTAAAAGTAAACTCCTGCCAGCATTCTGTATTCGGAGTGATACTACTAAAATTTTTTTAAAACCTGATAATGTTTCTTTTAAATGTTGTCAGTGATTTTTAGTGCAAAAAAGGTAAATTTAAAGGTCTGACACGCCTTGATCTGATCACAAACAATTTCTCCATCCTCATCTTCATGGTTTTTTATCATTCTGGCCCATTCTCAATTATGAACATGTTTCTGCTTTACAAAACTTGTGGTTCATGCCTCCCTAGTTGAATATCCGTAATCCAAAATACTCTGAACTCTGAAGCTTCAGGCAGAAGGTTTCAGATTTCAGAGCATTTTGGATTTGGGATTTTCAAATTAAGGATGTTTAGTTGATAAAGACTGTGCACATATTAAAAAAAAAAAACAACCAAATCTGAAACACTTCTGGATCCAAATATTTCAGATAAGTGATATTCAGCCTGTAGTAGCTATGATTATGATTTTGCAAGTAAGTTCTTATTGAATTTGTTATTTTCACATGAAATTTTAAGTTGTCTCATTTTGGAGAGTTTCCTTTTTCTAAGGGCCTACAAACAGCAGTTCTTGTCTCCATGCATTTTTTTTTTTAATCAGTGAGCTATTTCTTCTAACTATAAATAACCTTTTCAATAAAAATTCCTTCAAAATCTGGAATACCATGTAATCTTTCTGACCTCTCAAGCTGATGAAATATCTTCTGTAACTATTTGTGGGATGTCAGCTTGTAGTGATTTTCATCAGGATAGCAGGTAGAGTAGTCTTTTTTTGTTACCGTAACAAAATACAGGTGACTGGGTTCTTTATAAAGAACTTAGCTTATAGTTTTGGAGGCTGGAAGTCCAAAATCAGCTGACCTCATTGGATTGGTCTATGATGTGGGCCCCCTGGCACCTGGCATCAGAATAGCCAGGACCATGTGTCAGAGTGATTATATGGTGAGACAGGAAGCCAGAGAAGGATTCAGGGACAAGGTGTGCACTTTTATAACAACGTGCTCTCAAGGGAACTCTTTCTTGGAGACCAGACTTCAGAGAACAGTCCCCTCATTGACTTAACCACCGTGATCTCTCTTATCTCCACCTCTTGAAAGGTTCTACCACCTTAGCACTACCATCTTGGAGACCACATGTTCAACAACATATAAAACCTTCAGGGAACAAACCACATCCAAATCAGAGCAGCATGTGTCTTTCTCAAAAAAGGAAATAGTCACATTTCAGAGATATGTTTATTTTCTTTAAATAAGAATGAATAACTATATTTAAAAACTCTCCTGTTGACTTATTTTTACAAAATTGCTCATACATTGTACTGTGTATTAGGTGAAATGCTCTGCTTGGGAAAATTAGAGTTGTGAAGCAAGTGTACGTGGGAAGAGTGCATTTGTGAAAACAAAGGTAGTGAGTGTACTTTTGTGGGAGATACTTGTCGAGGTTAACACTGAACAAATGCATAGATTAAATTTGTTCTCACTTCACTATGCTTTAATAACACATTTTTATTTGACTCTAAAGTCACCTTATCTGAGTGAACTTTATGTCAGGGATATAACTTTTAAAGTTTTGAAAAATCACATCCATTCTCTCTCTCTCTCTCTCTCTCTCTCTCTCTCTCTCTCTCTCTCACACACACACACACACACACACACACACACACACACACACAATCTCTTTTGCCGGTTTGTCTTTATTATTTTCTTATCATGGGGACACAATACCTGATACTTGCAACTTACAGGGGAAGAGATTTGTTTTGGTTCATGTTTTCAGTCTATAGTCAGCTGGTTGCAAGGCTGGAAGGGGTTGGTCAGAGGGACTGCTGAGGCATGGTAGCCAGGAAGCAGAAAGAGAGTAACTCTTCCAGGTCACACTCTGCGGGACCCACCTCTATAGATCAGACCTACCCCCTAACAGTGAAGCAGCTGCATTGCCCCATAATCTAATCACAGTCCACAAGCCTCACCTCTGAGCATATCGAGCCTTTGGGGTGATAGTCGAAGTCCAAACCATATCACTGTCTAATAACAGTGATGTAGTTTTTTAAATGGTACATGGAATTAACCAAATATTATTGAGGAAAGGTAATGTGGAGTATAATACATACTGAGCAATTGTAATTTTGGAAATTTGAAGTCTGAAATATTCCAAAATGTGAAACATTTTGAATGTTGCTGCATTCAAAGTTTGAGATTTTGGATTTTAAGATTAAGGGTGCTCAGTTGGTAAATTCTGTGTAAATATTCCAGATTCTGAATAACTGCAAAATCCAAAATACATCTGATCCAGAGTTTTTCAGATAAAGAATACTCAGGCTGTATAAGCATTAAAGACAAATTTTAAGAAAATTTTTATAATAGTGAATACCATATGAAATACAACTGTTGAGATAGAAATAACTTACATGCAAGAAATCCAGTTTAATACCCTGAAGTATGTGATTAATATAACCAGAAAATATTTGGCATTTGAAAGTCTCGAAAGTCATAGTAGTAATTTTAACTCTTTTCCTTATGATGTTCTTTAACCATCCTGTGTCTTTTCCATTTAAGTCAGTATGATATGTCCTCCTGATTTCTGTTTCCCTTTATATTATGTTTCAATTTGTTTTATGCTGTATTTCTTAACCTCTGGGTTTCTACTTAGGTCATACTATTTGAAACTAGTAATAGGGATATTTGTAACAACCTAACAACGTGAACTTGTTTTGGTATTTAATATCTATCTTTCTGAAGGATTTAACAAATGAATTGTATGTATTCTAGGTGTGTCACGAGGTCCCAGCCCTGTCAGCCTTGGAAATCAGGACACCTTACCTGTGGCAATAGCCCTCACAGAATCCGTTAATGCCTACTTTAAAGGAGCAGATCCCAGCAAGTTAGTTTTTTAAATATATATGTGTAATATGTGCTTTGGGCTGGGAGAAGGGACTTGGTGGTAAATTTTAAGATTTATATTTTGATTTATTGTAGATTAGGGTTTTCTTTGTTACTTACCTGCTGTTTGCTTTCTCATTTAGTCATTTCAGAATTATCTTTCAAATTAAAAAAAAAAAATCACTGTAATCAGCAATAAATGATTACTTTTCCCCCAGTGTGTTTACACTATTGCCCAGGCTGTTTGATCATTATGACACATTTGATGAAAATCTGACATTTCCTAGAAAGATCTAGAGAGTAATGTGTGACTCTTGCAGACTTGGTTTCATCTGTTGCTTTCAAGAGAAATCATATTTGGGTGAATGTTTTTCCTGCGTAATAACATTCATCCCATATGTATTCGTTCACTAAATAATTTGAGCATCTACTGTGTGTAAGACTAATAAATGCTAAGGATTCTTCAAAACAAAACAAAGCTCCTGCTGAGTTTGTATTATAGTAAGAAAAAAGAATATTCAGATACCTATATGTATTGATACAAAAATAAACTAGAGTAAGAAGGCAGAAAGTAATGGTAGAGTGCTACAATTTTAGATAGAATGACTGGGGAAAACTTTTTTGATGTTAATTTAACCAAATATTTGAAAGATATATAGGAGTAAGCCATGTGAATCTGGAGGAATAACATTCTAGGAAAGAAGGACCCAGTAATGGGAAGGGGTCTGGGATAAAAGCATGCATATCCAGGACACAGCATGGAGAGCCATGTCTCTGGGCAGGAGTGAACAAGAGGAAGAGTAGTTGAAGAGCATGCAGAGTGACACTGGTCAGGTTGGGCATTGTAGGTCATGATAAGGAGTTTGGAATTTAGTGGGAAGTGGGAAGCCAGTGGAGGCTTTGAGCAGAGGAGTGTTGAGAGGATTTGTGTTCTGAAGGAGTGTTCTGGCCATGTGTGGAGAATAAACTGGAAGGACCCAGAGCAGATGCAGAGTGTTAGAGAACTGGCTACCAAAGTCCAGGTAAGAGGCGATGGTGCTTTGAGTAAGGGCGTTAGCAGAGGAAGTGGTGAGTAGGGATGGGATTTTGATGTTTTGAAAAGTTGTCAAGATGTGCTAAGGGAGCAGAATGTTGTTTCTTTTTCTTTTTTTTTAGAATGCTAAGTTGAAGTCATTGTTAAGTGATGTCAGTGGAGATACTGAGTAGAGAGTTGTATACATAATTCTGGAGTCCAGTCATTAGAGATAAAATACACTTACTTATTAAAGTTGTTCCTTAAGAAGTAGATAGAAAAGGATTAGAGAATTAAGTCTTTGTCTCTCCAGCGCTGAAAACAAAGACAGGGATGATCCAGCAAAGGAGTTTGAGTCAGCAGCAAGAGAGAGAAGGAAAGAACCAGTACAGCGCTATCCAGAGGTTAAATGAATAAATCATTTCATCAAGGGAGTTGTGCAGCTATATCTGATGCTGCCAGCACGTCTGAAAAAATTGGCCATTGGCAATATGAAATCATTGGTAAACTTCACAAGAGCAATTGTGTGAGTGCAGTGGAGATGAAAGCTTGCTTGGAGGGAGTAAAGGAGCAGGTGTTACAGACTTAGACAGCTATATTTGGAAAGAACAAATGTAGGTAATTCTTTGGATGTTTGCTCTAAGAAAGCAGAGAAAAGGAATGGTAGCTGGAGTGAGACAGAATCAGAGGAGGATTTTATTTTAGCTGTTGTACAAATGATATATATCTCAGCATGTCTGTATGCTAAGGAGAAATACTTAGTGTTTATGGGGGCAATGCGTGAGGGAGGAAGCCTTAGGTAAGTGATCAGAGATGACCTCCATGGCATACTCAGTGCAATCGGCTATAGGTACAGAAACTGGTCATCTGTCAAAACAGGAAGGCAGGCAGAAAATACAGATGAAGAGTTAGGCAGACTGGGAGTTTAGCAGAGAGAGTGGAAGGTTCTTTTTTCTGGTTTTACTTCTGCAATAAAACTTAGAGCAAAGTCACCAGCTGACTACATAATACCAGGGGATATTGCAGGTATTACCAGGGTAATAGTACTAAGGGGTATTGCAGGTTAAAAGATAAAGACAAGCTATGAAAAAAACAGAAGAGTGATTAGACAAAAACATGCTGGATTACCAGGTCATACTACGGGGGCCGTTTAAGAGTTTGTTTTCTCTAGTACATTCAAGGTATACAGGTGTGGGTAGGGAGCTGGGTTTAGTTAAGACTGTGGTCAAGAGCCCTGGAAGAAGAGCCATGGAGGGTTTATGCAAAGGAGAATGTCTAACAATGGACCTGGGTATCCAAAGATAGGAGGAAATGAGGATTTGATGCGTGAGTGAAGAATAATGAAAAAGGTATAAGAACATCAGATTGTGGAGATTTTAATGAGGTTGGAAGAATTGTTAAAGATAGTAGGCAGAGTGAGTCACAAAAGTGACAAGCGGTGAATAGATGAATTGGGAGTGTGAAATTGAGATTATGGAGGGGCTGCGGCATGGATGAGGTAGGTCAAAAGACAGGAATTAGAGGTAAGAGGCTGAAAAACTAAGTGATCAAGTATTGAAAGGACCATCTTGGTGGATATTGAAATCATTAAACATTATAATAGTAGTGGAACAGAGACAGACTGGCAGTGCCCAGGAGTGCAAGTGAGTGTTGAAGATGAATTAAAAGGAATGGGGTAGTGAGTAGTATTTTGTTGTTTTGGGGGTTGGTTGGTTGGTTGGTTGGCTGGTTTCTTTTTGGTGCTAGGAATTGAACTCAGGGCCTCAGGCAAGCTAAGCACTCACTCAGTCACCAAGTTACATCTCCAGACCAAGGTGGTACAGTCTGATACTCAAGTTTCAAAGGAAGAAGAAACAGTGGGCTGGAAGAGGCAGTGAGGAATAAGGGAGACAGCCACACCACTACCGTCAGCCCTAGTTCTGTGTGGCCTGGGAGAGGGGGAAAGAGTTACAATTGGGGATAGTGTTACCAGGGAAGCAGTGACCTTACAGGTCATCTAGGAAATAGTGCAAAAAGGCAACATTATCAGTGTGCTTATATTCATGTTTGGAGTTTAATTCCAGGAAAAGACGATGCTAGGTGAGTGTGCCATTTTGTGCGGAATTATTTTTTATAATCAAATTGTAGAAATAAGTAGAATATAATATATTCTTTATCATAATTCTTATGTATGCTTTAAGTGGAGAGTAAAGCATCTTATTTAATAACATGTCAACATCTTCAATTTCAGGTGTATTGTGAAGATCACTGGTGATGTGACAATATCATTTCCAAGTGGAATTATTAAAGTCTTCACTAGCAATCCCTCCCCAGCTGTGCTGTGCTTCAGGGTGAAAAATATCAGCAGACTTGAGCAAATTCTTCCAAATGCACAACTTGTGTTCAGGTTTGTGTAAATGTTTTCCTTCCTTGAAACAATAATATTCAACTGGAGACAGTACCAACATTATCTATTATTATTAAATACCCTCTGCTGTCTTCTTGCTTTTGGTGTGATAGTTACTTTTAAACGATTTTGTATCACTGTGTCTTTATCTTTCAGGCAAGCTTTTGCTGTGTTCCATTCTTTATCCTCTAATCTTAGTTTTCCCTTATGCTTCTTTTGGTTCACTTCTACTAATCTTCTTCAAATCACCAAATTATTACTTGGAGGCAAAGGAAAAATAAAAAGGTAAACAAAAATGTTTCTCACACATGCAGTGATCCGTCACAGTGTGATTCCAACACAAAAGATTTTTGGATGAACATGCAAGCTGTTACTCTCTACCTCAAGAAGCTATCTGAGCAAAATCCAGCTGCCTCTTACTATAATGTAGATGTATTAAAGTATCAGGTGAGTGTAATGTTGCTGTGAAATCCTAAATTAATATGTTAACAAATGGGAGCTAGTGTATCAGTAAGTGAATAAATGTCATAGCCAAATGAGGTTCATCCAAGGAGTTCAGGGCATTTATAGAATTAGAAAATCTGAGTAGATACTTTAACTAATATGAGTAGATATTTTAACCAGCCTAATAAAAATTTTAGCATCTGTTTGTGATTAAAATAGAGTAAATATAAATACATTAATTTGTACTTAGCACAACCCAGAAAGGCTTGCAACACCAGTCTTCATAACAGAACAAAAGCAGTCAGTTAAAGTCAGATACAGTGAAGATACTCATTATTCCTGTAATACTAACAGGATTGAAGGTTTTTTTGGGGTGTGTTAGCAGTATAATTAGGTAAGAGGGTAAAACAAATGGTAATAAACATTGGAAAAGACCCAAAATTAATCACTTCCAGGAGATAATATTTCTGGAAAACTCAGGATGAACTGAAAAACTATTATGACATAAGGGAATTTAGTAAAAGTAGCCAGTTTAAAAATTAGTATGAAAATTACTAACTTTTAAAACAGAAAATGGAGAAAAATACTCAGAATAAAAAACAAGAAGAAATACACAGTGGTGCCTTGGTTCACAAACTTGATTCTTCCCATGATTCCACTTGCAAACCAAGTTGGACGAGAACCAAATCTAATTCAGTGCTTAGGTTCCTTGTTGACCTTGTGGGGAAATTTGATTATGTCCCATCCAGTTCAGTTTGCAACCAGAATGGTGGAGAGAATCGAGTCCATAAACTGAGGGGCCACTGTAAGACAATCTCATGACTTGAATATATTTATAAAGGAATATATTAATTTAATAATTGATATATTTTGAGAGAAATATATTCATTTTAAAAAATTCATGTTGCAAAAGTGTAGCTCTCTCTAAATTTACTTGTAAATTTTATGTAATCTGGATCAGAAATCTAGTAGAAGTATATCTTTGTGTTTGGAGATTTGATAATCATTTTCACATTCTCTGGAAGAGTAAAGCATAGAAAAATAAACTAAGAAATGTAGCCCAGTCTGGTGTGGTGCACACGTGTAATCCCAGAACTTGGAAGGCTCAGGCAGGAGGATCGCTGCAAGTTTGAGGCCATCCTGGGCTAGGGATGTTCAAAGTCTATCTGACCTACATAGTGAAACCCTGTCTCAAAAAAAAAGAAGCCCAGTGTGGTGGCAACATGCCTGTAATCCCAGCATCCCAGGAGGCTGAGGCAGGAGGATCCCTGCAGTTCAAGGCCAGCCTGGGCTACATAGTGACTCCAAGCCAGGCCTGAATTACATAATTAGACCCTGTCTCAAAAAACAAACAAAATGTTGTAAACAGTAAAATGGAATAATATTTTAGCTTTAATGGATGCTCGTTATAAGGTGATAGTATTGAGACTAGTTTGGATCTGGTCCATCAATAGCTGGCCAGATGAATGGAACAGATTAAAGTATCCAGAAATATATCTAATATTAAATAGAAACTGGTTTATATGGCAAAGTAGCATTTCAAGAAATATAGAAATAATGAATTTTTCAATAAATGATACAGGGGTGCTGGGGTTATAGCTCAGGGGCACAGCACCTGCCTGGCAAGCACAAGGTCATGAGTTTGATTCTTGGTACCAAAAAAAAAAAAGAAACATTCAATAAATGGTATGGGTACAGCAAGGTAGATATTTGGGGGAAAAATAAGATAAATCCTTACTACAAAATAAAATCCTTATGTACCAAAGGTTTAGTAACAATAAATGAAATAGTGAAGGGACTAAAATAAATCATGAATGAACATGTATGAATATATATATTTATCTGTATAGATAGATCTATAGACAGAGAGATAAAGATAGATATATATACTCCTTGTTTAACAATCTGTTTAACAACTGTTCAGGCTTATGACCTTGACTGAGGCATGCTGTTCAGACTTACAGCCTGATGCTTAGGCTTAAGACACATCTTTTTTTGGTACAGTTCTATAAATCTTGTTTATAAATCCTCAGTGTCCTTTTTTGTACAGTACACCTTGTTTATACAGCACTGTAAGTTTTGCTGATTGCCCTATAGAGTATTGTAGTTTTATGTTCTGTTATACGTTACAGTACTGCATGTAAGAGTTATGCAAATAAAAACAAAGTCATCAAGTTGGAGTTTACTTTGACCATTCTGTTTTTCTGACTATTATAAGGTGCATACTATATAAATTCCTCATTTAGCAACCAATTCATTTAACAACCTAGCCACAGGGGTGTCTGTGTATATGTGTATATATACTATATATCTAGTATATATTTTAATCTTGAAATACGGAAGACCTAAGTATAATCTGAAAACTAAAAGGCATGTAAGAAGAGAGTGAGGTGATAAAAGTGTATTGATATGAAATACTTGTTTTTAAAAACCCTTAAACAAATCAGTATTCTGAAGGAAAAGTATTTGCAATATATAGGAGAGACTAAAGGAATTATCCCAAAGAGCCCTTACAAGTTAGTAAGTAAAAGATGAGTGACTCAGTAGATGGCAACTTACGGAAAGATGCTCCATGTCACTGCACAATGAATATGAGATAATTAGTTTTATCCCATCATGTGACAGAAATGAAAAATTGCAGTGTGAATTAACAGAATGTTTCAGGTATTTTGGGAAAGAAATTAAGCTTAATCCCTAACTCAAAATCCACACAAAAGCAGTTGTATAAATTGTTGGATAGATGCAACCTTTAATTCAATACTTCCACTCCAAGAATCTGTTCTTCAGAAATGAATAAATGGCCTGCCTGGCAAGCGCAAGGTCGTGAGTTCGGTTCCTGGTACCGGAGAAAAACTTAAAAAAAAAAAAAAAAAAAAAAGAATAAATGGGCAAAGGTAAAATAGAAAGGTTATTCAGTGCAGCTTTGTTTAGGACTCAAGTACACAGCAGTGGAGGAAGGGCTTGATTAAATGAAGTATTAAAGCCATTCAAACGAATGAGATGGAGTCATGTTTGCATATACCTAAGTAGTCAGGAAGGGTATGTTCCCACTGTGTAGTACAGCAAGAAGGGGTGGGCTGGGTGTGTAGCTTAGCCAAATACCACTTGCCTAATGACCAAGGCCCTATTCTAATCCCCAGCACCATTTTAAAAAAAAAAGTACCAAGAGATAAATTTCCTGTTTCAGATACTTCACTTTTGAACTTTTAGTAGGGTAATTGAATTAAAATAGCATATCTCTAGAAAGTACTGTATTTAAAGAGTAAAGAAAGCTGTCATGTAACTTGATCTGAAGCTTATTACAAGGTATTCATTTATTCCTTCATTGAGGAGACATATATTATTCATTGCTTCCTAATTGCTGGGAGTAGGACAGGAAGGCAGTAAACATATTTATATTGTATGTTAGTAAGTAAGTGGTATGGAGGAAAGGTAAAAAGGTGAGGAAGATTGAACATCTGATTTTTTCTTTAGTGAAAATTTAAACCAGGGTGGTCAGGGTGGCCTTTGAAATGGGTTGAAAAGGAGCCATTTGAGCAAGGACCTGAAGTAATGGAAGGAATTATTTATTTACCATGGGTCATATGATTAAACATTTGAAATTCTCTTAATTCCGGGCTTGTGGAACTACATGGCAAACCTTCCTTTTTTTCTGATTGTTTTAAATCTAAATTGTTTTAATTCAGAAACAGTCTTAGAATATTATGTTGGATATTGAAAAGTTCTCAGACATTGCACAAGTAAGTAAGAATCACCAGATAACATGCCAGTGTGGGCACTATCCTTCAGCTGTTCAGTCAGATTTTCTCCAGTTGGATCCCATGAAACACACATTGTAAACAAGCGCCATGGCAGTTTTGATGTAGGTATTCTCAGGTCCACATATTGCTTTGAGATGAGTCTGCTTTATTCTGCCTACCAGCAGATAATCCTCTTAGATAGTTTTGATTCTGTAAATTATGTCCAAGTATCTGTGTCACGAACATGACTTTTTCACTCTTCAAACCAGACAGTTTTTGTTTTTTCTCTTTAAAGGTATCATCAAATGGCATTCAGTCCACTCCTTTGAATCTTGCAACATATTGGAAATGTAGCGCCAGCACCACAGATCTTAGAGTGGATTATAAATATAATCCAGAAGCCATGATGGGTCCTAGTGTGCTTTCTAATATACAGGTGGTAGTTCCAGTGGATGGAGGAGTCACAAATATGCAGTCCCTTCCCCCTGCAGTATGGTAAATAAATACGTTTATGAATTCACGCTACATTTCTGTTTCATTCCCCAGCTTTTAAAACCCAAGTTCTAAAAGTTATGATTTTGAAAAGTTTTAGTACATTTTTCCATAGAAGCCATGCTGTAAAAAGATGGTATTCATTTTACTAGTCAAGCCACAGTAAGCCTCAATCCACAGTAAACAAAACTAGTTTTACTGTACCAAGATTTGAGTAGTTCTTTACTAACTTTCCCTTAAACAAATTGCTTAGCGTCTTAAAACTAATGATAATAATTATTTTTCAGGATGAAATATACCATCTGGCCTATTGATGGGGTACCTATTAGTGTTCAGTAGTATTAGCTCTCATCTCTTAACACCTCTCTTGCTGCCTGTAGTAATACTACTACACACTCTAACAACTCTTTGTATTTGTTCCACCATTTCATGACAGTGTTTTTCTTGACTAATTAAGGTACTGAGCCACATACACATGTTGTTTTTCTTTTCCTGACCAGTAGAAATGAGAAGAGTCCTATAATCTGGTGAAACTTTCATTAACTGAGAAAAATACAGCATTGTACTTAATACGATATCAAACACATTTTTACTAGGTCACACTATTTAAACTGAGCACTCTAGTGGTAGTGAAAATACTTTAAATGCATTTAATTTGGAAGTGCTCACCCATGTCTAAAGTACTGTATTAGACTCTTAATCTGAAGATACTTATTATTACAGGAATGCAGAACAAATGAAAGCCTTTTGGAAATTGTCTGGTATTTCAGAAAAATCAGAAAATGGAGGTAAGTGTATGTATGCATTTTTATTTACAATGTGGTTTCACTGAAAATGGATTTCTCTTTCCTTTTCCCTCCCTTCCGCTTTCTTCCCCTTCTCTCCCCTCCCCTCCTCTCACCTCCCCTTCCCTTGGTGCTGGGTATCAAACCCAGAGCCTCTTACATGCTGTGCAAGCACTCTACCATTGAGCTATATACTCACAGCCCGATTGCTTTTTTAAGGCATCTTTTTTTTAGAACCATGTTGGCAGTTTATTATATGGTAATTAAAAATTTGTTTTAAACATTTGAATGCATATATCTCTGTAGTATGGTGTCTTAAGCTCTTTGAGGAAGATACTTAGAATGGGGAGTATCTGGGTTAGATGGCATTTCTAATTTTAGTTATTTGAGATCTACATAAACGGTTGTACTAATTTACATTCCCACCAACATAGGCGGGTTCCTTTTCACCAGACCTGTATCAGCATTTATTATTTTTTGATTTCATAATGATTGCCATTCTTTCTGGAGTAAGGAATTTTAGTGTTGTTTTAATTTGCACCTCTCATGGCCAGAGATTCTGAACATTTTCTTCACATAATTGTTGGGCATTTATCATCTTTATCTTTGAAGTGTCTGTTAATTTCACTTGCCCATTTCTTGACTGGGTCTTTAATTTTAGGTGCTCTATTTTTTTTACTTGAGTTCTTTATATATTCTAGATATTAGTCCTTTATCTGAGGAGTCACTGGCAAAATTTTTTTCCCATTCTATAGGTTGTCTCATCACTCTGCTTATTGATTCTTTTGCTGTAGAGAAGCTTTTTAGTCTGACATAATCCCATTTGTCAATTCTTACTGTTATTTCTTATGCAATTGAGGTTCTGTTTAGAAAATCCTTTCCTACACCTATGTTTTCAAGTGTTTTACCTACTCTGTCTTACAGGTTTAAGTTTTTGTTTTGAAGTTTTGATCTTTGATCCATTTTTACTTTATCTTTTTCAATCAGGTTTTATTTTTTATTTTAATTTAGTATGTGGTGAGAGATGTGAGTCCAGCTTTACTCTTCTGCAAACAGCATTTTTATGGCAAGTTTCTTCCTACAACTTCATGCCTTCAGTTCTAAAACTGGCCACTAGGTGGAAGTTAATACCTTATATAAGAATGAACCAGCTAAAATTCAGACATTTTTCCTATCTACATTGAAAATGCTTTCTTTGAAAGACAGAGAACTTGTTTTGTTATTTTATAAATGTTATATAAATACTTCTTATATTTAAGTGCCAACATTAAGAAAAATACCTAATAAAATAAATGTAGACTAATAGAACTATCTGTCCCAAGTATGTAACCTCATAACTAATTGAAACTGATTTAACACACCATTTAATTCATTCTGTTAGTGAGGGCCTCCTGGCTTCCAAGAGACCATGTTGTAGAAGCTTCCAGGCTTTGAAAAGCCTTCTGCCTACGCGTATCTTGCTAAGAGGACCCTCTGATCATTTCCCCCATTAGGACTAACATCAACAGCCTTCAATTCTATGATTATATTTTAAGGAGAAGCAAGTTAATTGCCTCTTCTTATGAAGCCTGTGTCTTTTTATGTTCACAATGCAAAAGAAAAGTCTCTGCTAGCTGATTAGGTCTTGTATCTCCTCTTACTCAACTTAAAATTAGGACGTAATTCCCAGGACAATCAAGTCTTGAACAAGAGACTGTAGATGGTTTCATTTTCTCTTAATTAAAAGAAAAATCTCTTAAGTCATTTTGAATGCCTAATTTACTTCCAGAAATTTCAATCAAGTAGAGTTTTTTCTTTGTTTTTGCTTGTCGGCTATTTCTTTTTGAACACTTTGAACATAGTATTGGTAGTTTTTCCTAATATTTATGTGTAAAGAATTATGAACGTCTGTACATTTATACCTGTTATGCAGAATCAGACTTTTACTAACTGAGACATAATTTGGGTGAAGTAGCCAAGCTAATTTGCAGTTCCTTTTTGCCCTTTGATACTTAAAAATTACCCATTTTTAGGTGGTCAGATATATTGATTTATACCCTGCAAGATGGCTTTGTGGAAGCCATTCTGAAATTCTGAGTTTAAACTGGAAATGAATTAGAAATCTTACTTGCATTGACAGCTTACAGCCAGCTACCAAGGAAGAGGGTGTTTCCCTATTTAATGAAACTATAGTGTAATTATAAATTCTTAACCAAGAAAGGGACTTGTTCTCTCAAAAATAAGACACAGATTTTCCAACCAGATAGTTTAGTAGTTTCCCTCTATTATTCAGGTACGAGACGTGTCTGTGCGAGGAAATGGAAAAATCTTACAAATACAGTTTGGATATGGTTAGTTGAGTCAACTTCAAATACTGTAGAATGGAAATCTGTTTTTTATTTTGGTGCTATTCCCAGAAAAGGGACAGGAAATAATTCCAAAGTTTAAGTATTGTCAAGGTGGCTGCCTTATGCACATGGTAGAACTTTGACAGAACTAGATGGCTTATTAAGAGTAGACAGTGGTTAAGAACTAGGCAGTAAATCCTCTTCATTCTGTTGTATGCCACCAGGCACAGTAGTGTAGGGGGGGTTGGAGTTGTTATATCTTGTTCCACACTGTCCTGTAGTGTCAGACTTCTCTGTAGGGGTTCACAAGGTCTTTCTCTTGTGACCCAGCAATTCTGCCCACTTTCCCTGACCAGAAACCTCTGGACCCCTACTTCTTTCTCACCTCTTGATTCCAACTTCTACCTATCTTTCAATCATTGCATTCTTTGCTTTTCTTGGACCTACTTCAGGTCCCCTTCTCTTGTCACTTAGAGTCCTGAACTGTTTCAGTTACCCCCAGTTTGACTCCTGACTTTTCATCTTGCCCCTCTCCTCCCTTCTAAGACACCAGTCTGAGAGATTCTTATCTTATGTGTCTTGGGTGATTCGCTATACTTAAAATGTAAATTTATTAACATGGCCCAGTCCTTGTTGCTGTTCTGGTATATAGATGGAGTTGTAAATGTTGTGGTGGCGTGAGTCGTCTTCGTATCTATAGTTACTTGTGCCTTAAATACACATTATCATCACCAGCATCACTTACAGCTTGCAGCAGAGATCCATGCCTTTGTGCCTACAGCTCCTGAGAGCTCCTTCACAGCATTTATCATACTTATCTTTGCTGCTTTACTGTTCATGCCATGCTCATAGACTGAGGTGTGCTGACTCACTAAATTTTTATAACAAAAAGAAAAGACGTCTGAAATATGTAAGGCATAATGTCAAATAACTAAAATTTTAAAAAGAAAAGCAAATAGAAAATTAATAATGTTAACCAGCTCTTACCAATAGCCACTTCTCCTTTGCCTATCCCTTCCCCATGATCTGATACTCAGCAGTTACTTCTTTTGTACTCTTCCCAGCTATATCCCTTCCAGGATTTTCCTGTCATCAATTACTTTTTCTTTTTTAATCCACTTCAGCATGCAGAGTCACATAAGTAAACATCTCTGAAAATTACTATTAAGTAAATGAGAAGGATGGATTAAGAATTAAGATTATATACTTAATGAAAATTTAGATTCACTAAATAAAATCTCATTTTTAAGTAGACTGTTTACATATCTCATGAATTAGCTTATGACTTATATAATTTAGCATCTGTGCTCATATGATTTTATTTGGTATGCAATATATTTACCCCTGTGTAAGTTCTTTATTCTTTTCCTTGTAGGTTCTGGATCCCTCAGAGCAAAATTTGATCTTTCAGAGGGCCCCAGTAAACCCACAACACTTGCAGTACAATTCCTCAGTGAGGGAAGTACCCTCTCAGGAGCTGATATTGAACTTGTTGGCACTGGCTATAGGCTTTCCTTAGTAAAGAAGCGGTTTGCCACTGGTAAGTTGGGAGGTTTTGAAGTTTTTATTGTACATAGGAAACGTTTGTATTCTAACAGTTACTAAACAACTGTCCAGCAGTTCATAATCTAAAGGCATGGCAAAACATTTTTTGACTCTTGATATAAGTGCCAAATTAGAGACACTTGATAGGGAGAGTTCTGGTCATTACAGCTGAACACCTGTGATATGATTCTAATGTATTATAAACAGCAGGTGGGAACTAGGATTCTCTGTGATGGAAGTGAGAAATGTTTATTTGAAACAGTAATTACAAAGGTCTTCTTGGTGTTTTTCAGGACGATACTTGGCAGATTGTTGATCAACCTGGGAATGTGGTGGCTCAAGGGAGTAGTACAAATCTGCCATTCTGCATTACCGGTTCTTTCCAAACACTATTCTAACTTGTATGTTGTCTTTCAAAGCTTAGATATATTTGAGAACTGATATATTTGAGAACAAACATTAAATCGCACTTTTAAAGTGAGTCATTGAAAGAAATAGCACTGAAATGATTTTCACACTGCAAATGATCAAATGCAATATTCAGGAAGCACATTTCTTCATAGTTTCAATAAAAATGAAGTTTTCATAGGCTGAAATTTTAAATTATCTCAGTGTTTATATTGAAAAAAGGAGGTAATAGTGTAATATCAAGCCTAAAATTTCAGGAGAGCAAGCACAAGATTATTTAGCTTTCCATAAATTTTTAGAGTCAGAAATAGTTGTGAGATTTCATAAGTTTGATATTGAATGGATACAAACGATGTGAATTCTAAGTTTTAGATAATGTTAGCTCAGAGCACTCAATCAGATTGAGTTATGTGCCATAAGTTAGTCAGAACAGAGTCCGCGTAGTATGCAAAAAATATATAATTGGATTCTGATAAACATATTAATAAAGTGTAAATGGTGTTTTATATGGTTTTTAAAAAAAATTCTCAAGTGCAATGTGTTTTAAAATAAGCTTACAAAAAACAGCAGAGAATTTACTTCTACAGTTAATTAACTTTATAGAAGTTGTGATTGTTTTGATGAATTAATGCTGTAGATTTAATTTATTTTTATATGGATTGCATAATATGTGCCTTTTAAAACAATAACAAAAGCCAGAAATGTGCCTGTCTCATTTGTGTTCATTAATGTGCCTCACTTTTTTTCTCAGTCTGCATCTTCTATTCAGAATCTTACAGTGGTCAAAAAGTTTTTGCAGGATATTTGCAATTTTTGTGAATACCTTTGACCTGCAATTGGGAAGAGAATTGAGAATAACTAAAGGATAATTTATATTTAAGAACCAAGGCTCACTTCTTAGTGAAACACTGTAGCCACTAAAAAGAGAAATAAACCTAATGGAGTATGTTTACTGGTGAAAAAAATTACCTTCAGATATTTAACATTAACCTCATCAAAAGTAAGTGAAACAGATAAATTGTGAAAAACTGTGATGGCAAATTGGTAACTGGTATTTTAACTCTCACTTTAGCATTTCCCTTGTCTGTATTTACCATTGAAAATTTACACATTTATTTACTAATTATGTTGTGAAACATGAGTTCTGTAGTAGTTTATGAGAAATACATTTTTAAAAAGATAAATTTTGGCAATGGGGGAGAAGTACTGTTACTTGTTTCATTTTAACAGTTAGAAAAATTACCAATTTGTATGTTTTGATTACTATTCAATTCCCACATGGTAAAAATAAATTATTTAAAGTGATAGCTTGAGTTAAGCATTTCTTAAAATAGGCTGCATTTTCTAAATAGTGCAAAGCCTAACTTTGTAGCAAATTCTGATTATTCGAAAAAGTGATACATTTTAGACAAAATTTCATGATCCACAAGTGGGAATTTTTTATGATGATAAATACCAGTCTCCTTCATTTTGCATAGTTGAAGTGATAACTTGTGTTACGTAAGATAATTTATATAAACCACTAATTGTTCTGTTGAGCTTTACAGAAAATAAAACCCCTATCCTAGACATTTGTGTAACGTCTTGCTATACTAAATATAGCAGAAAATTCACTTCTTAGCAATATATAACACAGCATGTGTATTTTTATGTATTCAGTGTTAGCCCAATCTAAATTTAGATTTGACTAAAGCAGTACCTATGACAGTTTTCTAAAATGTTAGTCTTTACTGAATAGCAAAATTAGAATTTCTAACTCTTATTCTCTTTTAAATGCCAATTACAAGCTTTACTGGAATTTTAATTGTAAATCTGCTTTGCATTCACACTGCTTCTATTGTGCAGTTAATATTTTATTCTTGGAATTCAGACACTATTACACTCACCATGTTTTTTTTTTTTTAATCAAGCATTACCTAAAAATGTACAAATTAGTGAAATGGTTAAACTTCTGCACTTTGTTAATTACCAGTCTTCATACCAAGTGTTGATACATAAATTTATATTGGATACAGGTTACAATTTTGAAGCCATATGAGTTTTATTGACTTTTTTTTTCCATTTAAAAATCCACTAATGGTGTAAAAAAAGACCAGTAGATTTTCAGTGGGAAATGTATCTAGCAAGCTGGTTCTTGCTTATGTATAGTGATAAAACCTTGTAGCTTGTCTCTTTAACCAGGAATTTGTAAACACAGAACTCTTAACAAGTGTTTTTAAGGATTATTTACTACTTTGGGTTGTAATTAGAACAATGCACATCTATCTTCCAAAATTTTGTAAATATTTTTGATTTTTTCATAAAATGTAAATTTTACATAAAAATTGTACCCTAATAAACATGTAATATATAATTTATCAATTGGCTTATGTGTCTTGTATCCCTATTGATAACTGGTATATGTTGTTGACTTTAGGGCAGTGTAATTCAGGTAAGGAATGAGTATTTGGGTTTGAACTTTATACCGATAACAGATTGAACTGTTAACTTAGCTTTCATTGATCATAGAGAAAACTTCATCGGGGTATGTTTCTAAAATGCCAAAATTATTTTTTAAGGGGTTATTTTACACATATTTAAATTGATGTTAAACTTTAGCAGAGACTTTCTTGCTCAGGGATACAGTCTCACACAATTTAAAAACCATGGTGTTCTAAAGATGTAGTCAAGACCATCAAGCCTGGATCGTGCATTTAAACAGAAGCAAAAGAAAAGAAAAGCAAGAATTATTCATCCTAAATATTAAAAATGTTGTTGAATCCCTCATAAATAGGAGCAGTTATCTAGGTCAAATTGAGACTTCTCTCGAAAGGCCAGATAGTGCTCTTATTCATACCCATCATGGTTTTCTACTTTATTCTCTCTTTTCTCCTTATCCCCACTCTCACTTCTCTTAGAAGGGTGCTAGTTGCTGTAGTAGTCCTGCAGTTTTAGGAGCTGATCACAGTACTACCATTTTGCTCACATCATAATCCTAAGTATGCTGTGCTCCATAAAGTAGTGGGCCTCCCCTGTTCCCTGATTCTACAGCAGATTCTCTCCGTTTGGTCAGCAGTGGGGAAAGAGAAGCTTTTTGGGGGCCAAGCACAGATATGGGATTATCACTTACACTCACTTCCCATGAGCCAGGACTTGAACTTGTAGCTCCAAGCATCTACATGCTAAGATGGGAAGTGTTTGACTGTGTGCTCAAGAGGAAAAGAGAACAGGATTTGGATAAACTGAATAGTCTTCTGTCACATACCCTACCGTTTTGTTGCTTTCCCTGTTCCTGCCTCAAATGTGCATTTAATGGTGTCTGTAGCTTCCTGTAGGTTTTACTTTTCTACGCTCTTTTGTTACATATTGATTTTTATCCCTATTTTTAAATGTCTGATTTTTTCATAGTTCAATGCATGGTTATTTCTGAGTGATCATTGTGATAACCAGAAACCATTGTTCATCTTTGACATGGAGTTTCATCTATCAGGAATGTTTCTAACTTTAACAAAAAACAAAACTAAAAATAGCTTAAACAGACACAGTTTTTTAGTATTTTTTTTAACAGTGTAAACTTAGCAGTGAGCAGGTTGAATTAGAAAGCAAGTGTTTTGCTTTTTGATTTTTAGGATAATAAGTTGACATAACCTTTTAATGGTTTTGATTTTAAAGCCTCTCTTTTGTTTTTAAATCTATGTATCTTTTAAACTAGTAATTATTTGGGAAATTATTCTAAGAAAATAATATGACAGATAAACATGCATATAAAGATTTGATGATTGTTAAATACTATATAGCTTTATAGGGTCAGGGATGTAGCTCAGCAACGCACCACCTGCCTGGCAAGCACGAGGTCATGAGTTTGATTCCCAGCACCAAAAACCCCCCCAAAAACCAAAAACAAACAAAAAATACTATATAGCTTTTAAAATAATCTGTAGTCAGCCAGGCATGGTGGTGCAAGCCTGTAATTCCAGCACTTGGGAGGCTGAGGCAGGAGGATCATTGTGAGTTTGAGACCAGCCCAGGCTACAAACTGAGCTCAAGGCCAGCCTGAACTGCATAGCAAGACCCTGTTTCAAAAAGACAAAAAAAAAAGTATAGTCGTTGATGTTGAAATACTGCTACAGTATTGTTAAAAGGTAATACGCTATTTTTGTTTACAGACATGCACACATTGAGAGCATATATTTTTATAGAAACATTCATCAGGCTGTTGTGTCTTGGGTTAGTGGGATTTTTATTTTCTATAAATGTTTGGTGTGTCTAAATTTCATTTGCTTTTTCATGAGTACATATTATATTTACAGGAACCTTCTGTTTCAGAAGTTTTAGAAAGTGAATTGACCTGTGTTTTAGCATAAACAGTGTACAAAGATCTCTTTACATAAAGACTTTCCTTATTTTGATCATTGCCTTAGCCTTCCATTTGGTCTTTTAATATTATGTATGGCATCTTGGTGTTTCATTTTTAAGGTATGGAAGTTTTCTTGCTATTTTTTTATTCCTTCTTTTTCCTTCTCTTTTCAGTCTCAAGCCTAAGGGCCATAATTTATTTCATGTAAATAATTTATTTCATGTAAGAACATAGGACCTGTTGTTCATTCTGAGAATACATTTTGCCAGTCTGCCTCCCTGCCTTTTTTGGGAGGTGGGGGTGATATTAGGGGTTTGAACCCAAGGCATTTATACTGAGCTATATCCCCAACCGTATCTTTTTTATTTTGAGACAGTTGCCTAAGCTGGGCTTGAATTTGCAATCCTCCTGTCTCAGCCCACTGAGGCCGAGATTACAGGTGTGTACCACCACACCCAGCTCCACATTACTTTTTTTTTTTTAACATTTAACAATCTTTAATTCAAATGTAAAAGTTCAATACAAGCCGTTTATAGGGCTTGGGATTTTTGTTCTTTTAAAAACAAGAATGGGGAAATGCAACAAAATGGTCTTTCCACTGTTCAAAAACTTTCAAGGAAAGGATAGATCGTAGTGCCATAAAGGATGCATTTAACTGAACCCACTTTCTCCCGGCACCAACCTTACACCCAGTTCCACAATCTTAATACATATTCCTGAATGAAGATTTACAGTTCAGCTTTGCATACCATTTAAAAAATACTTAGCACCAGCTTGCTTCCTATAATGCCAAATGATGAACTTCTTCAACATGTATTTCTTTTTTTTAAAACAAAGGGACTCTCTTAAAAAAAAAGTATGATCCAGAGAAAGAACAGAAGATAGCCTTTAGAAAAAATTGAGTCTTTTAAAGTTCAGAACTTTAATGCTATCACCTTATTGAATTAGTGACTGATTTGCACCTTCAGAATTCCCAACAGTGACCTAAAGAATGAGCTTGCAAGCCTTGAGTGGTGTCACGTGCCTGTAATCCCAATAGTCTGGGAGGCTGAGGCAGGAGGATCACAAGTTGTAGCTTGGCCTAGGCAGTTTAATTGTGATTGAGAGACACGCTGTCTCAAAATAAAAGATTAAATAAAAGGCTTGAGTACATACTACAGTGCAAATTCCCTGGGTTCAGTCTCCAGCACTGTGCAAAAAAAAAAAGTGAGCCTAGGTTTTGTTTTGCTTCTGTTAACGAATAGTTCATTAGAAATCTTGGGTGAATTTCACAAATTTCAGAAATTATGAAAAATGTAATTTGAAATCATGTCCATGCCAATTTGAATGGCTTACTGAAGCATATTTCAGACTGACCT